TATAATTTATATCATATATACATATATATATATATATATATATATATATATATATATATATATATATATATATATATATATATATATATAATATCCAACTATGAACATTTTCTTTAATGTATGCATGCATGTGTGTATTTATATGTTGATAATAAATATACATATATTATTTGTTTGTAGATATTAAATATACAATATACACAGCACAAACATGTCACAACAAACTTATTTACTTACAAACTTTACAAACTTACTTATTTTGGATGCGATACATTTTTTTTCCAGCACTTATTTTATTTATTTTTTTCTCTACTATTTTTATTTTGTTATATAATATTTTATTTTTATTTATTTATTTGAATTTAATTTATTCGACCACATAGGCATAATGAAACGTTTCAAAATTAAATGAACATAAATGCAAGTTTAAAAAATAAACAATGTTGCGTGTACTTTCATTAAATGCACTCACTGATGTTTGATCATTTTTAATTCATATGCACAATTGTACACAGTAGTTATTATAGCTATCAAAAACTAAAACCATAAAAATATTCATTTAAAAGGGCCAGTTATGAACTGAAAAAAAAACTATAAACCTACTTCAACTAATTTGCAGTGCAACATCTCTTTTTCATTTAGGTTTTTATTTGATGTAATAATATAACAAATTTAAAGCATTAAATATATCTACATTTTAAAAAAAGCATATAAAATTACTTGAATTTGGTAACACAAATTACAATTTATAAAAAAAAAAAAAAAACTAAATAAAAAAACTACATTTGATTTCTGAGTCCACTGGTTTGATTTATCTTTCTCTCTGTGTGTCTGTAGCTGCAGCGGCGTCACGAGCAGATGAAGAAGAATCTGGAGGCTCAGCATAAGGAGCTGGAGGAGAGAAGACGTCAGTTTGAGGAGGAAAGATCCACCTGGGAGACCCAGCAGCGCATCCTGGAGCAGCAGAAGATGTACGTGATGTAATTACAGCTTTCAGATATGCACTAATTACAGTTGACTTTTTCTTTTTTTTTGCAATAAAATGACTTAATAAATAAAAAAAGCAAAATATATTGATTAATAAATAGATAAATAAAAAAAAAGTAATAAAACAGAAAGTCACATGGAAGATGCAAATGTGAAAGTGTCTTAAAATGGTAATTGTTTTTTTTTTTTTGTGTTGTTTATTTACTAAAATATCTAAAAGTGAAGCTGAAATAAAAACTATACATTAGTCAAGGACCCATTTTAAAGTCTGTAGCAAACTAAAATTTATATAAGTGATTTTATATGCATTGAAATTAGATTAGATGCAAGAAAAGTATCTGCTTTAATGTTTTATATAGTGTTTTAAAATGTTAAAATAATGTAAAATAATGTTCTTATTTCGGCGTAACCTATACATTTATTTAAAAATCAAACTTATTTTGTCCTCTAGAGAATGCAAAGTTTTATTGATATTTTAAATGATTAAAAACTGAAATCAGCTAATTATAAAAAAATATGTCAATTAATTGAGCATTTTGAGGTTCAAATGGGATCCTTAAAGGGATAGTTTACACAAAAAAATTAAATTTGCTCACTATTTACTTACTTATACTGTGAGACTTTAGCCAAGATTTTGTCATCTGAGACAAATTTGGGAATATTACTAATTACTTCAGCAATGCACTGCTTTTGTTGTGCTCTGAAATACAACATTTGAATGTTTGTAAAAAAAAAAAAAAAAAAAGAAAATGTCTATTGTACACTGCACTGATATTATGTAGTTTCAAAATACAGTATATTCACATTTTAATGTAGAAAAACCCAATGTGGGTGTCTTAAGGAGCAGCATATGGGCTCTTATATGCAGTTTTGTTATCACTTATATGGCAAGTCATATCTCTCCGGTCCTTCGTTTGGCATGCTTTTCATGAAACGGCACCCATGACAAACTAATTGAATAGCCCTGGTCTACAGCCAATCAGGAAGCAGAACTTAAGAAATCAATCTGTGAAACTGCAGTGAACCGCAATATAGCGAGGTATAACTGAAACTCAATACCATCATTTTCATTAAAGTGTGAACTCTCCCTTTAAATAGAGTCTTTAATATGTAATTCAATTATTCTAGTTCTAAACATGCCTTTTTTTAATACCATTATTGTTGTTTTTTCTTCCCACAGGACTTTGGAAAAGAACAAGAAGAAAGGGAAGATCTTTTAAGCATTTCCCCCCCACCCCGGATGAGTTCCAGGTTGTTCTCATTGGCCAATCCTCCCCCTAAACCTGATCTCTATGTGCGTGTCGAGCTGTTTGTGGACATTTACCTTCAGCAAACTCAGTCTTACTCAAGCCAAATATCAATCCGATCTAAAATACTACACTCAGTTCACTTACCAGCTCAGATCTGCAGTTACATCCCCCCAAAAAAAGGCCACATAATTCAATATAGGATCAATCCTTTACTCATAGCCTCCATAACTGAAGAAATATGACTGTGCTCTGTTTCCCCACCCTTGTAAATCATGTAACGTGGCCAAATGGTTGAACTGTAATGCACAAGTGACATGCGGAGGAGGGACGGGCAAACGTATTATTTGCTTCTAATTTAGTTTTTCTCTTATCGCGAACGTGTAAAATGTCTGTCTAGTCAGTATCCTTTGACCACCTCCTATAACTTCATTAATGTTATTTCAGTTATTTTTATATATATATATATAAATATGTATACGTACACGGAGACAGCTAACGTCATATTTTTTATGTATGTTCATCCAGCAGACTGGTGTTTATTCCTCTCGAACGGTCGCGCTCGCGTTTGTCTGTAACTTCACCTCTGCTGTACAGTATTTCAGCTGTTCGGACACAGGCAGATCTTTGTTTTCGTACATGTTACGTTCTCCATCATCTGTATTTTTAATTTTATTTTTCGTTTGTATTGTACAGTCTCTTAATAAACTTGTGATGATACAGGTGGAGGATTTGTTGATCAGTGGTTAGCGCTGTCGTCTCACACCAAAAAGGTTGCAGGATTGAGTCCTGGCTGAGCTAGTTGGCATTTCTGTGTGGAGTTTGCATGTTCTCCCCATGTTGGTGTCGGTGTCCTCCGGGTGCTACAGTTTCCCCCTCAGTTCAAACACACGCGCTATAGATGAATTGAATTAACTATTTGGGTAGTGTATGAGTCTGTGTGTGAATGAGTGTGTGTAGGTGTTTCCCAGTATTGGGTTGCGGCTGGGCCATGCGTTATGTTTTAAGGGCATCCGCTGCATAAAACATATGCTGGAATAGTTGGTGGTTCATCCCACTCTGGCGACCTCTGATAAATCTTAGACTTAGCCGAAGGAAAATGAAGGAATAATAATTTAACCCAAGAAAATTTCACATTAGTAATGATGTTTAATCTTGTTACACTTTTGACACATTTTTATTTCGTTCAAGCACACTTTAGTTTTTATAGATAAAAAATAACTTACCGGATGATGATTTAAAAAATGACCTAATTCTACCTGTAATATTTTTAGCATATTAAATTGATTTCAATACAATATTTACTCTTTATTCTGTATTTTATTACAGTACACAAATATGAAATAATTTTTTTTAAACTAGTCATTTTAATGTGACAGGTGTCAATTTCATCTGAGTATACCTCAGATGTTAGAAAAATATTGTTAATATTCATATTTATATATATATATATATATATATATATATATATATATATATATATATATATATATATATATATATATATATATATATATATATATATATATATGTATATATATGTGTGTGTGTGTGTGTGTGTGTGTGTGTGTGTGTGTGTGTGTGTGTGTGTGTGTGTATATATATTTATATATATATATATATATATATATATATATATATATATATATATATATAGATATATATATATATGTGTGTGTGTGTGTATGTATGTATGTATGTATATGTATGTGTGTGTGTGTGTGTGTGTGTGTGCGCGTGTGTGTGCGTGTGTGTGCGTGCGTGTGCGTGTGTGTGTGTGTGTGTGTGTGTGTGTGTGTGTGTGTGTATATACACACATATATATACATATATATATATATATATACACATATATATACATATATATACAAGTGAAGTCAGAATTATTAGCCCCCCTTTGAATTTTTTTTCCTTTTTTAAATATTTCCCAAATTATGTTTAACAGAGCAAGACAATTTTCACAGTATGTCTGATAATATTTTTTCTTCTGGAGAAAGTCTTATTTGTTTTATTTTGGCTAACATAAAAGCAGTTTTGAGCCCTTTTAAGCTACATATTTTTGATAGTCTACAGAACAAACCATCGTTATAAAATAACTTGCCTAATTACCCAAACTTGCCTAGTTACCCTAGTTAAGCTTTTAAATGTCTCTTTAAGCCATATAGAAGTGTCTTGAAAAATATCTAGTCAAATGTTATTCACTGTCATCATGACAAAGATAAAATAAATCAGTTATTAGAGATGAGTTATTAAATTGATTATGATTAGAAATGTGTTGAAAAAATCTTTGTTAAACAGAAGTTGGGGGAAAAAATTAACACTGAGGCTAATAATTCAGGGGGTCTAATAATTCTGACTTCAACTGTATATATAGGTTATTGTAACAGTCAAGTCTAAGATGGTTCTAGAGATGAAAATTACAGCATTACAGCACTAGGTGTCGCTGTTCACCCATTGCAAATCTTTTTTTAGGGGTAGTTCACTCAACAATATTTACTCATCCTTCACTTGTTTCAAACTTTTTTTGTCATTCTTTATTCTGTTCATCACAAAGAAAAAATATACTGAAGAATGCTTGAAAAATTGTCATCGACATTCAGGGTATTTTTTTTTTGTTCCTAGATTTGACTGCAATTTTCCTAAATTATATATAATATCTTGTTTAGTTTAAATTTTTTGGTTGACTATCCCTTTAAATTCTGTTTGACTGAAACTGCAGAAAACTTTGCTAAAATGTTAACATAATTAGAATATTATGCACACGTATACGTCATAATACACACATTTTATTCCATATTTCATTAAACAAATATGAGAAGACAAATTTCTGAAGACATTTCTGCCTGATGTTCTGGTGGTTACATGTTAAAAGCTTCTTCAAATCACAGCGCTTGTGTTTGTCCTAGAAGGAAACATAAATAGAATTTATTTTTAAATGTAGAATTTACATTTGAAGGTAAAGAAAGCAGAATATCAGACTCGCCTGATTCAGCGACATTCCGTTTCCCCATCAGACCCACAAACGTCTGGAACTTCTGTCCTGGAAGTCATTTGATTACATTTGCTATATTTATCATAATGAACACACATGATCACAGTTGATACAATCAGAAACTTTGATTTAGAAATTATTTTGATTATGGAACCCACCGGTCCGACTGTACCCAACCTGCGCTGAGCTGGGATCAAACGGCAGTTCTTTGCATGGGAGTCAGTTGTTTGAACAAGAAGGCTAAAGACCATTGACTGGTGGGTTACACCTGGGGGCTCGTCCGGGATGGGAGTGAGGTTTAGTGGGGTGAGAGTAACCGAGGCCAGCTTGCGAAGTGTTATGCAGGTAAACCTCACTCCTCTGACCTCTAAACGTGCTCTAGCAACAGATTTTTGAGGCCAAGGTCTTTAGCCTCCTTGTTAGAGCAACCGAATCCGGCTAGTTCGATCCCAGCTCACAGCAGATTGGATGCATTAGGACCGGAGGGTTACACTTGGGGTTCATCTGGGATCGGAGTGAGTTTTAGGGGCTTAAGTATAACCGAGGCCAGCTAGTGAAGTGCTGTGCAGGTAAACATCACACCTTTGACCTCTAAGGTTGCTCTAGCAACAGATGCTAGAGAACATGGTCTTTAGCCTCTTTGTTGGAGCAACCAACTCATATTCAAAGAATCGCTAGTTCTATCCCAGATCTGAGCGGATTGGGTGCAGTAGGATCGGTGGCTCATCCGGGATGGGGGTGAGTGTAACAGAGGCTAGCTAGCGAAGCACTATTGAGGTAAACCTCACTCCTCTGACCTCTAAAGGTGCTCAGATGAAAGAAGTCTTGGCCTTGTTAGAGCAACTGACTCAGATGCAAAGTATCGCTGGTTCGATCCCAGCTCAGAGCGGATTGGGTGGAGTAGGACCGGTGGGTTACACTTGGGGGCTCATCCGGGATGGGGGTGAGTGTAACAGAGGCTAGCTAGCGAAGCCCTATGGAGGTAAACCTCACTCCTCTGACCTCTAAAGGTGCTCAGATGAAAGAAGTCTTGGCCTTGTTAGAGCAACTGACTCAGATGCAAAGTATCGCTGGTTCGATCCCAGCTCAGAGCGGATTGGGTGGAGTAGGACCGGTGGGTTATACTTGGGGGCTCGTCCGGGATGGGAGTGAGGTTTAAGGGGCTGAGGTGTTACAGAGGCCAGCTAGCAAAGCGATATTGAGGTAAACGATTGTACAAAATAGTTATTTCAAAAACTTTTGCATCGCCTTGAGATTGTGTTTATTAAAGCAAAACATAAATAAAACAGTTTTTGATGGATTTGATTAGTAAAACTTAACATGATTTCATTAGTATGAAAACTTATGATTTGTAACAGGAGACTTGGCACCAAACTGTTGTCGGCAAGTCATACTAAAATGTACGAATAAGATCATTCTAATATAAAATAGCCTTATCAAAAAGTTATGAAATGCCTTTAGATTGCATTTATTAATGAAAAAAAAATGTTTTTGAAGGATTTTATTAGAAATTTCATACAATTTTATTTATATGAAAACCTATGATATTTGAAAGGTGTGGCATGTACTACAATGTACAAATGAGATCTTCAAAATCATACCAAATAGCCAAATCAAAAAGTTTTCAATTGCCTTTAGATTGCGTTTAATAGAGCGAATAAACAAATAAACAAAACAGTTTTTGAAGGAATTGATTAGAAAAACTTCATGAGATTTAGTCCATATGAAAACCCACGATTAACAAAAGGAGTCTGGCACCAAACCTAACTGAGGAAATCGTATTAAAATGTACAAATGAGATCTACAAAATCATACCAAATAGCCAAATCAAAAAGTTGTGAATTGCCTTGAGATTGTGTTTATTAGAGCAAATAAATAAATAAACAAAACCGTTTTTGAAGGATTTGATTAGAAAAGAACTCCCACTTACGTCTTCGTGTTATCTGGGATCTTGCTGTGAACAAAAAGCAAAGAGTTAAACCTGGTATCACCAACAAATTAAAATGTTAGCTCAAAGTATAATGAAATTAGGATCGTTACATATTTAAATATATGAAAAGACACAGGTGTAAATATATATATATATATATATATATATATATATATATATATATATATATATATATATATTTTTTATATATATATATATATATATATATATATATATATATATATATATATATATATTTTTTTTTTATATATATATATTTATATATATACAGTTGAAGTCAGAATTATTAGCCCCCCTGTTTATTTTTCCCCCCGATTTCTATTTAACGGAGAGCAGCTTTTCCAACACATTTCTAAATATAATAGTTTTAATAACTCATCTCTAATAACTGATTTGTTTTATCTTTGCCATGATGACAGTAAATAATATTTGACTAGATATTTTTCAAGACACTTCTATACAGCCTAAAGTGACATTTAAAGGCTTAACTAGGTTAATTAGGCAGGTTTGGGTAATTAGGCAAGTTATTTTATAACGATGGTTTGTTCTGTAGACCATCAAATAAATTATAGCTTAAAGGGGATAATAATTTTGTCTTTAAAATGTTTTTAAAAAAATTAAAAACTGTTTTTATTCTAGAAGAAATAAAACAAATAAGACTTTCTCCTGAAGACAAAATATTATCGGACATACTGTGAAAATGTCCTTGCTCTGTTAAACATCATTTGGGAAATATATATTAAAATATATATATTAAAAAATATATATATATATATATATATATATATATATATATATATATATATATATATATATATGAGAGAGAAATACATTATTTTTGTTCATTAATAAGCTGAACTAAAATAAGAAATTTGAACAATAGATGGAAAACTGTCAAGTTTCTTTTAGCTGTTTGTTTTAAACTAAAATAAAATGAGGCTAAATAGGAAAATATGATAAAAGCACAATGAACGAATGAATGAACACTTAAAATCCATAAATAAATATGTTAAATAATACATATATTTAAAAAATATGCTTTTACCTGATGATCTTTTCCCCATTAGGCCGAAAACCTGTTGCAGTCCGGGTGCTCGACTGACTCTTTCCAGCGCTGTTTGTAGATCAGCCTCCAGCAAATTTACCTTTAAACGACACAAATAAAGTAATGCGACTTTTCATTTCAAATGACTTTAAAGTACACATTCATACAACTGCAAAATCTCTCATTGGCTCAACCTCGTCTGGATAGCCCTCATTGATCCAGCTTTCCTCGTTCTGGCTTAAAATAAAATGATTCAAAGCAGAAAACAGCAGAAACAGCAGCAGGACGATCCTCATGGCTGCTGTTTGGTTTCACTACTGTGAGCATCAGATCAGATCATCCAGAGACTGAACATGAGCTGGGTTTAAATATCGCTGGGAAACAGCTGGCCATTATGAATTATTCACTGAAAATTGCTTTAATCGCTGGATTACCCCTGTGAGATTCATCCGGGCTATTAGTTGAACGATTGTGCGTTTGACCTGCGCTTTCAGGTTCTTCAAGACGTTTGATTCATCTGAAGAAGTCTCAGGATTACACTCTTGATGACGTCGTCACTGCCCTCAATCATAAATCAGCGCTGTTCTTATGCTAATTGTGTGCATGTGTCAGTTTAATAGCTCAAAATGAATTTATATTCTATACACAGTTGAAGTCAGAATTATTAAACCCACTGAATTATTGGGCCCCCTGTTTATTTTTTCTCCAGTGTCTGTTTAACAAGGAAGTTTCTTCATATTTTTAAATATAACATTTTTAATAACTCATTTCTAATAACTTATTTACTTGATCATTGCCATGATGACAGTAAATAATATCTGACTTTATATTTTTCAAGACACTTTTGTACAGCTTAAAGTGACATTTAAAGGCTTAACTAGGTTAATTGGGTTAACTAGGCAGGTTAGGGTAATTAGGCAAGTTGTTGTATAATGATGGTTTGTTCTGTATCTAAAAAAAAGTAACCTAAAGGGGCTAATAATTTTGTCCTTAAAATGGTGTTTAATAAATTAAATACAGTTTTTTCTAGCTGAAATTAAGCAAATAAGACTTTCTCCAGAAGAAAAAATATTATCAGACATACTGTGAAAATGTCCTTGCTCTGTTAAACATTATTTGGGAAATATTTAAAAAAGAAAAAAAAATTAAATAGGGGCTAATAATTCTGACTTCAACTATATATATATATATATATATATATATATATATATATATATATATATATATATATATATATTTAGTTTTATTAAATGAATGAATGAATTATATTTAGTTTTATTAAATTATTTATTTTATTAACAAAATATTAAATACAATATAAACTTTTATTTTTTATTTATTACCCTTTTAAAATGAGAATTTTATTAATTTATTAATTAATTAGTAATGCAATGATTGCATTTAAAATGCATGCTAAACAGTATAATTATTAATGTTGCAAATTTAATTTTAATTTAATTAAATTAACTATTTTTGCATGCTTTATACAATATATATATATATATATATATATATATATATTATATTATAATATATATATATATTATATATATTATAATATATATATTATATATATATTATAATACTATTTATATTTATTTATATATATATATATATATATATATATATATATATATATATATATATATATAAAATATAAATAGTATTATAATTTTAGCGTTTTTATATTTATTTTTTAGTATGAATAAAACATGCCGAAACGTTTTATTTATGTACACACTCACTGGTCACTTTATTAGGTACACCATACTATTACTGGATTGTCCCCTTTTTGCCTTCAGAACTGTCTTTATCCTTCGTGGCATAGGTTCAACAAGGTACTGCTAATATTCCTCAGAGATATTGGTCCATACTGACATGGTAGCATCATGCAGTCACTGCAGATTTGTCGGCTGCACATCCATGATGCAAATAATCTCCCGTTCCTCCACACCCCAGTGGTGCGCTATTGGACTGAGCTCTGGTGACTGTGGAGGCCATTTGAGTACAGTGAACTCATTGTCATGTTCAAGAAACCAGTCTGAGATTATTCACGCTTTATGACATGGCTTGTTATCCTGCTGGATGTAGCCATCAGAAGATGGGTACACTGTGGTCAAGGGATGGACATGGTCAGGAACAATACTCAGGTAGGTTGTGGCATTGACATGATGCTCAATTCTCCATTCTCCTCTGATCTCTAGTATCAACAAGGCATGTGTACCTAATAAAGTGGCCGGTGTGTGTATAACACTATAATAAAAAAATATGAAATGTGAAAATGTTGTTTTTATTATTAAGTGTATAATTATACATTTTTATTGATAACTGAAACAAACTATTTCACAATATTTTTGGCTATAATTCTGAAATAAAACAATATATGAAAATTGTTTTTACAAAGTTACTTTGGCAACTTATTGAAATAGATTTAAGACAGGGGTGACCAAAGTCAGTCCTGGAGGGCCGGTGTCCTGTAGATTTTAGCTCCAACTTGCCTCAACACACCTGCAAGGATGTTTCTAGAAAGCCTAGTACATGGATGGGCAAACTCGGTCCTAGAGGGTGTTTAACTCCAACTCTAATCAAACACACCTGCTTATAGATTTCTAGTGATCTTGAAGACACTGATTGGCATGTTCAGGTGTTTTTGATTAGAGTTGGAGCTAAACTATGCAGGACACCGACCCTCCAGGACCGAGTTTGCCCACCCCTGGCCTAGTAAGAGCTTGATTAGCTAGCCCAGATGTGTCTGATTGGGGTCAGAACTAAACTTTGCAGGACACCGGCCCTCCAGGACCAAGTTTGGACATGCCTGTACTAAAAACTTCCTGGCAGGTGTGTTGAAGCAAGTTGGAGCTAAACTCCAGGGCACCGGCCCTCCAGGATCGAGTTTGGACACCCCTGAATTAAGATAATTTAGTGAAATTACTGAAGCTAAAACTGAAATAAAATGAGAGGTAATAAGAGTCTTTTGTATTATTTTATTAACAGTAATAAAGTCTATTGAAGTAGAATTATACTATTAGAACAAGCGTAAAACAAAAATTGAATGGCATAACATAAGCGTATTCATCATACATGTATTTATTTTTATTTAATTTTGAGTACATATAATTGTGCTCTATGGTGAAAATTTGTTAATTCTATCAGACCAGCTTTAATTTTAATTTATTCAATAGTATTTTTCAAAATTATATTCAATATATGCCTCAGAAACTCAAATGGCACCGAATAGTAGGAATGATCAATGTATAATTCAATTTCTTATTTTGCATGGTAATACGCTTATAACGCTTTCCTATTGGCCACCAGAACATGTCACTCAAACCTGCCAGGCCTCCGTAGGTCACGCCCCCGCGTTTATCCAAAACTATAAAAGTGAAACAATGTAGGAAAACTCGATTTCCTCATCGGACGCGTCCACAAACAGCGTTATACTTCACACGCCACGTGTTCACGAACAAAGAAATGCACATTTGCATCTGAAACCATGTTTTATTGTCGATTTCTGCTTTATTTTTATCTGCTGTATTTCGGCGCGTCGTTTCGCGTTATAGCCGCGTCTTCTCAAGGAAACGACAAAGCGCCGAAAAATCTACATTTAGTGAAGCGAAACGCAATTAAAACCAGGCCCAGCGATGCTCTTGGAGGGCTTGAACCCGGTGATCCCGCTCCTGCATTTCAGGTGCACACTCTGGACGGAATGTTTGTTTACAGTCCTCGGAATGAGTCAGGGCGCGCGCTCATCGTGCACGCGTTCACCAATAAATCCGCTTTCCTCGAGTGTTTGTGGACGTGGAGCGAGTCTCTGTCGGACCTGCTGGATTACCTGCCGTCCAGCACTGAAGTTTTAATGCTGTCCATGGATGAGACTGCTGAACAGGACGCCCTCTGGATGAGGGAACAGGTGTACAGAGCCGCTGCTCACAGGTACTGACAATGCAGACCTGAGCACTTTCAGTACAGTACCCCTCCGCTCTGTTACCTTCTGATTGTTGAGTTAAAGTAATATATTGCTGTTTCAGTCTTACAATAGACAAAACAAAAGAAAGATTACCCTAAGGCTAACACTTTCACATTCCTTAGTTACTTTTTTCCCCCAACACTGTCCTTGCTGTATGTGGACCTGTGTCTGAAAAGTTCACTTCAAAGTTAGATAACAGGTACTGACATTTTGGACCTGATATCATTCAGCCCTACATTACCACCTCCACAGTATTACCTTGTGATTCATTCCACTCTGCTACCAGTGTTGGGTAAAAAAAGAAAATCCATCCATCCATATCGTTTTGTCATTTCAGTCGTTACGTCCCACCCTCATTATCTATCTATCTATCTATCTATCTATCTATCTATCTATCTATCTATCTATCTATCTGTCTATCTATCTATCTATCTATCTATCTATCTATCTATCTGTCTATCTGTCTATCTATCTGTCTATCTATCTGTCTTCATTATTTTGTCTGTCTATCTATTGTCTATCGTTATCTATCTATCTATCTATCTATCTATCTATCTATCTATCTATCTATCTATCTATCTATCTATCTATCTATCTATCTATCTATCTGTCTATCTGTCTATCTATCTGTCTTTATTATTTTGTCTGTCTATCTATTGTGTATCGTTATCTATCTATCTATCTATCTATCTATCTATCTGTCTGTCTGTCTGTCTGTCTTTATTATTTTGTCTGTCTATCTATTGTCTATCTCTATCTATCTATCTATCTATCTATCTATCTATCTATCTATCATTGTCATTCCATCTATTGGTCTATTTATCGATTTTTATTATTTTGTCTGTCTATCTATTATCTATCGTTCTCAATCTATCTTTTCATCTATTCCTCCATCTATTTATCAATCCATCCATCTATCGTTCCATCTATCATTCTGCTGTTCCATCTATCCTTCCATCTATCATTCTGCTGTTCTATCTATGCAGCTATTGGTATCTATCTATCTATCTATCTATCTATCTATCTATCTATCTATCTATCTATCTATCTATCTATCTATCTATCTATCTATCTATCTATCTATCTATCTATCTATCTATCTATCTATCGTTCCAATTATCATTCCATCTGTCATTGTGCTGTTCTATACATCTGTCTTTCTTTCTGTCTGTTTTTCTGTGTCTGTTTGTCTATCGTTCTATCCATCTTTCCATCAATCTATCGATCGTTATTTATCATTCTGTCATTCCATCTGTTGGTCTATCTATCGCTATATCATTCCATCTATCATTCTGCTCTTTCATCTATTGGTCCATCTATCGTTCAGTCCATCCGTCTGTCTATCGTTCCATCCGTCTTTCATTCCGTCTATCATTCCATCCATCTCTCATTCCGTCTCTCATACTGCTGTTCCATCCATCTATTCACTGGAGCCAATTTTAAATGTATAGAATGGTGGTATAGGGCAGGTGCTTTCAACCTGGTCTGAGATTATTTAAAGAAAAGTGTGTGTATGTTTGTAATGATCATTAATGTAAAATAAAATCCAATGAAAGTAGGTATAAATTTGTTTTTAAGATACAATCTATACTATGTAGATGCCTTTTACATTTTAGGATAGAGCCATGGGGACATGGGAGGATATCTGACTTGATCTGTTGCTTGGTCCGTTTTAATCGAAAAATAGAAAATGACACAACACCTTTTAGATACTTAAAGTGCCTACTTTTTCCGCCAAACACTCTCAGTAGCTACAGTATATGTGGAACTATATACAGTATAAAAAGTTCACAAAAAATCAGGTACTTGCTCCTATTAAAGAAAAAAATTGTAGTAATTAAAGTCAAATTTTAAAAAGTCTATTAACAAGGTATAAATTTTGTTTATAAGACATAATCTATACCATAGGTCTTAAACCCGATTGCCCTAAGAAGCCACAGCTAATATAACTAATCAAGGTGTTTAAGACTACCAGAGACTATTAACCGGGTGTGAGTTGGAGCTGGTTGGAGCTAAACTATGCAGAGCCGTGGCCCTCCAGGAATTAAGTTTAAGACGCCTTTTACATTTTAGGATAGAGACATTGGGACATGGAGCTATATCTGACTTGGTTTATTGCATCTTTAAGACCCTGACTTGGGGCATAGAAGTACTGTGTAAGTTTCTTCTTTCAAAGACCTTCGTTACACAATTAACTGTAGCATAGTATTACTACATGGTAAGAAAAGAATGACAAATTAATTGTGAGCCTAAAACTAAATGAATTGCCTTTTTTCCTTAATAGAGGAAAGGAGATTTTATCCAGACTGCATTTCTCCCCAACGCATGTGTACAATCTTGGAAACTGGATACCTAGAGTTCTGTACTCATGGGGATGTGGAGGACATAACTGTGGCCTCGGTCAGGTTGTTTTTTCCTCTCCAGGTGAGTACTGCATGTCTTTATAAACATGACATTACTCCTATTACCATGTCTGACAGGAGACTTCCTTTATGAATGTGAACAATGTTCATAAAAGGAATTGCAATTATTATAATATAGTAGTCTGCATTCAATGATGAAAAATTGAAAGAACTTATTGATCAAATACTATCAAAGGGATAGTTCACTCAAAAATTATAACCCTGTTTGTTTACTCCCATTTTGATCAAAGCCTGTTAGTTTTTTTTTTAATCTGTTAAATACAAAATGTTTATTGAAATATGTTGGAAATTGGTTACTATTGACTTCTGTTGTTGGAAAATTCTGTGTAAGTTCTGTGTAACCAGTTTCCAACATGTCCGACTGTCCTTTCATTGCGTCAGCAATTGCTTCATATAAATATAAATATATTTTTAATCCACGGGTTTAATCCACGGGTCATGTGTGTTCCGAGCTGTAGGTTGTCATCCGTACGGATCAAGCGTGATCCATTACATCCCTTTTATTTAATCACACTTCATAAACAGTCTGCAGAAACACTGATTGACATTCTTCCTTTTGTATGTGTCATCAGAAGGGGAAAGCCCCGCCCACTTGTAACAAATTCTCCTTCATTAGCATACATAGATGTATACATTAGGTGTCGCCTACCCTGTTGTTGTCTATTGGAAGGAATGCGTCAATAGAGCCGCCATGTTGGAACAGGGTAGTGCTCCTTTGAAATGAATGCGGGACCAAGGTACAGTGGAGGACTGTGGCCATCCAAAGCCAGAGATATACACATATACACATATATCTATGGTCGGGAGTTTTCCTGGATTTTAGTATGTAACTTTTTTTCTTTTCTAATTACGAAAATTATAATTTTCCATCACTTTTCTACATTGATGGATCAGTGATCGCACGGGCATTCCTGACAAAAAGCTTGTGTTTGTGTGTACAGAAATGTACTATTCACCCTCCCTGTTAAATTTGATCTAATCCGTGTCCTGAAACACTTCTCCTCTCCTGCTTTCACTTCTCATACTGACAGTGGGAGCGATTAGTTTGTGTATGAATCTCCGTTATGAACGACTCGTTCACTAGCCGACAATAATACAAGTTTCTGGCAGCGCAGCATCTCGTTGTCATATTTATTTTGCATTGTTTGCTGATTTTATTTAACAACACTAACATAAGCAGAGTGTTTAGTGCGAGTTGGAGCTGCATTACCTTATGGGGAATGCAGTAAGTGACTGTATTGTCATCAGTAACGTTACCTGTTGAACACAAAAGTTCATAACATACAAAAACGCAAAAAACTAAATCTTACCTATGAAATGTTTTACATTTGTGCTTTGTTTTCTTTGTTTGCTCATTACTACACCCGTAGACAGCGCTAAAGTCCAGCATCTTCATGTAATAACACTGTCTTGACTAGTGCGGTTGAATGACACTTGTCCTGGGAGCACTGTACCAATGTGGCGGCGCTATTGACGCATGCTCAGGGTCCCTATGCGATATCTAGTGTATATATCTATGATTAGCATAGACAGACCTGAGTGAGAAGCAGCCTTCTGCCATTCCAGGTTTGAATCTGCTGGATATATCAACGTATATGTAGCTCCACCTTCTTTTAAAAAGAGGTCTGGGTGCACAATCTCATCAGAACTTAAAGCAACAGTCCTTAAAATGGCAGAACTTGGATCGAAGCCTAAAAGGGGCAGTATTTAAAGAGTTATAAAAATAATTATTTATTTGATAATTTAAGGTGAAACGTCACGTACACACTCTAGGGACCATCAGAGACTTATTTTAAGTAAAAGTGGGCATAATAGGTCATTCCAGTTTTGTATCTGTGTATTCTGTAATTGCAGACTGGAAGGGGCCTGTGATCGGCAAGCGTCTGAATGCCCGATATGACTGGCTGTACGCCCACTGGAGTACAGATCCATACAGACTGCTGGATGTTGGCGATGGATGTGCACCTGTGGCTTCTCTCAAAGGAGCTGTCGCTTGGGTATCAGAGGGAGGATGCTCTTTCTTTACTAAGGTGAATTACATGAGCTAAACAACGTGGATTTTGGTTCAATATTTAAGAAATGGACTGATAATTGTGTTTTATGTTTAAGATTAAAAACATGGAGAAGTCAAACGCTACCGGGGTGTTGGTGTATGCCTTGCCTGGAAATAACATTCAGGACATGAACTGCAAAGGGGATGAATGTTTTACTTCACTCCATATACCTGCATCGATGGTTCATTTCCAACCCAAAGTCAAAGAAGCCCTACAGTGAGCAAACCGATTATAGCTCCTGACTATGGGGAGAAAAATATGGACGTGTTTTTGTGTCACATCTTCATTTAGGTTAATGTACAGTGCTCGGTGTATTTTTATCCATTTTCTCAGTGAAAATAGGCAATGTGTTTTGGTGCATTTAAACAAAACTGATTTATTAAAGATATATTTATTGAAATAATATTTTAGTCACCAAACCTATTGATAAATTGAAATATAATACAATTAAATTCGAGCAAAATATTGCAAAAAATTACAAAATGCAAAATTTCAGCAAATTTTTTTTTTTTTTAATTTTTTTTTGCTTTATTGCATTTAATATTTTTATATTGCATATACATTTATCTATACTAGTTTTTGAACCGTTATTATTATTTTTTTTTTGATAAGCTCCAGATTTAGCTTCAAAACTGACTAATATCCTGTATATGCACAAATATAATATTTTATTCACCTTATTCTCTATGCATAACCATCTGCAGCCGTTTGAATATTTTGGCCCTGAGACTTCTGGTCTCATTTACTACCAAATGGCTGTCTATGGGGTCTTAAAGTATTAAAAGTTGATTAAGCAATTATGAGAAAATGACGGCCCTTAAAGTATTAAAGTCTTAATCAGGATTTTACGAGGTCCTAAATTTTGTTCAAGCATTGTCCAAAGTGTTTGACTCTTAAAAAAGCATATCTATATTTATTTTCTTCGATTCTCACGATCAGTTCAGGCCAGGCACGTCTGGCCAAGCTCCTCTCTCCGGGTGATGTCACATAATGCAACAAATGTGGAAAGGTGATGTGACTCTCCATGTAACGAAACTATAGAGCAAAACGGATGGAAAATGTAAGTTTGCGTACTCCTGGTTGGAGAAAGAAGAGTTTAAACCTGAAGCCTGTCGCAGAAAACGACGTGTAATTTATTCTTTCAAGCTTTGTTTTTTCCAAGCTTGCCTGCGTTCTGTTGTATGGTTGTGCTCTGTTTGTGTGTGTAAAAAAAAAAAAAAGATTTGCACGATTTGATTATTATACAAATACTTTAGAAATAATATTTTAAAATAATTCAATTATTATATACTCCAGTGTTTATTGTTTTTAGAAAATGTCTACATTTTTATTTTTATTTTTTCAGGTAGGCCTTCGTAAAATTAAAGTTCAACATGGCTTAAAACAGTTTAATTTTATATTATACTGTATATTTTTATATCGTTATAGCTTTTTGTTTGTTTTATATTGGTTCGTTAAAACTAATTATATTCTATATTTTTATATCTTTAAAGGATTTCAATATAGCTTAGGCTATTTTATCTAGATCTATAAAATTGTGTTGAGCCCTCAAAAGAGTTTGAGGCATTGCCAGAGCTGAATCGAGCGTTCTTTTGCCTGGGTTCTCGCACACAAATACATTCATCTAAATGCACACGTTTCATGCACAAACACACCTTAAAAATCTGAAAGTCAATACAAAAGTGGTTGTTTCTAGTGCCACCTGGTGGCTATTGTGTAAAGCCCAATTGTAGCTTTGCTGCTGCAGTACTACATGTGACTACGCGATTTCTGAAGGAACGTTCTCAGCCACATCTGTACAAAATTATCCCATGCTTTTTTGCTCCAAAGTGAAGATCCAACTCTGTTTTGTACTGCACAATTCCCCTGAATGAAATTAACTCTAAGTGTAACAAGGGAAAATTGTAGAATTTATATCCTGTACCACTAAAAATGTTATTTGATTTATGCATTCATTTTGTTTGTTGTCTTTTAATTGGATATTTATTATTGAAATGTACCAGCCCTGAAAATAGTATTGGTTGCTGATTATGGCATTAAATAAATATATTACATTTTTATTCATCTAAGCGCGAGTACAAATTTACAAAATCTGAATGAGGTGAATAGATGTATATTTAGCTGTTGCACTATTACATAAAACAATGAACTGAAATAACAAAAGAAAAACCTAATTTAAAAATATTTAAGGAATAAGTAATGTTAAACCTTTTTAAAAAAAAATTTAATATTAGCATACAAATGGACCAACTTAAATAAAAAGGCAAACATGTATATAACGATTACATTATTACATAATACATGAAAGCAAATATAGGAAAAACCTAATAAAAAAAAACATTTAATGAATTTTTTTTTTTTTTTTTTTAGGAGTCTTATTTGCATATTTGTTATGTTAGACAATCTGTAATAAACATACAAATGAAAAGTTTAGCTGTTAAACTTAAATGCTTATAGTTTAGTCAATTAAAGTTTTATCACTTTATTTTCATTAATGCATTTGCTTGTTAAAATATTTTTAAAAGTTCTTCCTCAGATTCTGAAATCATCAAATCACAAGGTTTCTCTAGTGGCCTTATCGAGAGTATACTCTACCCAGAGTGTACTCATTTGAGACTTTGCACAAAATCTTGCGGCTTTACTTGTGTAATTTTGTAATTTAATGCAATATTGTAAATTAGTTTTTAAAATGGTGTTGAATGTTTTTGAATAATGTAGATTTGTTGTAAAGATATTAATATTGTTGATGTGGATCATTATTATTTTTTCTTTAACAGAAAGGGGAGGCCTGTTAATGTGAAGTTCCAGGTCACACCTTCACGAAGCTTCTTCTTCGGGATTGACCAGAGGGGGGTGCTTTCTGAGATGGGCTGGTTTCTTTACCCATCCTTTAGGTTCATGGCCTGGCAGGCTCAGTGGTAAAACTTCATCCATTTTATGCCTTTTTAAAATGTTTGTGTTCCACTGTTTTAAAACAATTAATAAGTTCATCATATTTAGGGCATAAAGGGAAAATTTGAGGCTAGTTGTCACCAATTGAATTCTGTAAAATGGGTCTGCACAGTATATCATTTCAGCATCGATATCGCAATGTGCACATCTGCAATAATTACATCGCAGGTTGTGCAAACTTGAGTCTTACTTACAGTTGAACAAGAACCACCGAAGACTGCGAAGTTTAACCACAATTAAGTTAAAATTTGTCTTCTGCATCTGTTTTTAAGGCCTGTGACTGTGCACGGCAAAAATGCTTTTCTTATTTAGATTTTTGAACTAGAAACGAGATGGATCATTTTAATTAAAGCATCATCTAGACAAGCATAAAAAATATCATATTTTTTTCAGAAATAATAACATTTTAAGTGAGTTTTCCATTAAACAAAATAATCTGCGCAGAAAAGCATTTTTTTCTATTGTGAATTTTCGATTTCTCTACCCAAGTACTGTTGGACCCCCCTGAAAAAACGTCAGAGCTCTCTATTCAAACCATCTGCTGAAATTGTATTTATATCGCAATAATCATCACAGAAAAATAAAATATCGCAATATCTGAGTTTTTCCAATGCCGTGGAACTCTTACTCTGAAGTATAATTTAATAAAGGTAATTACTGATGACCAATACCATTTTGCAATAGGTTATATTTAGTATACTATAGTGCGCATGGATGCGCGTGTGGGTGCGTGAGCTGAAATTGTGCTTCTATCTAAAATTTTATTTACTTGTTTGTTTACTTGTTTCCTTATTTACTTTGTTTACTTGTTTATTTACTTTATTTGTTTATTTACTTTATTTATTGATTTATTTTTCACTTATTTGTTTACTTGTTTATTTACTTGTATACTTTATTTGTTTAATTAATTTACTATTTACTTTATTTACTTGTTTACTTTGCTTTTTACTTGTTTATTTACTTTATTGATTTAAATATTTATTTCACTTTTATTTACTTGTTTATTTACATGTTTACTTTATTTACTATTTGTTTATTTACTTGGTTTGCTTGTTTACTTTACCATTTATTTACTTGTTTATTTACATTTTTACATATTTATTGATTTACTTCGTCAAAGTAAAAAACTGTTTACTTGTTTATTTACTTTCTTTCCTTTACTTTTTATTTACTTATTTACTCATTTACTTTACTATTTGCTTTATTTTCTTACTTGTTTACTTTTATTTGTTTATTTACTTACTTTATTTACTCATTTACTTTACTTATTTACTTGTTTGTTTAATTTACTTTATTTGTTTTCTAACTTTTTTTACTTGTTTATTTATATCCTTATTTACTTGTTTATTTGCTTTATTTTTTACTTTACTCTTTCTTTACTTAGTTTTTTTTTTACTTATTTATTGATTTTATTTATTTGTTTACTTTATGTATTTATTTACTTCTATTTTAAAGTACAGTGATCTAATCCTAAAATTGCTAAACATTGTCTTATTAATAAATCAAATTAGGGGGATGCGGTGGTGCAGTAGGTAGTGCTGTCGCCTCACAGCAAGAAGGTCGCTGGTTTGAGCCTTGGCAGGGTCAGTTGTCGTTTCTGTGTGGAGTTTGCATGTTCTCCCTGCATACGTGTGGGTTTTCCCCACAGTCCAAAGACATGTGGTACTGGTGAATTTCGTCTGCTAAATTGTCCGTAGTGTATGAGTGTTAATGAGTGTGTATGGACGTTTCCAAGAAATTAGTTGCAGCTGGGATCCGCTGCGTGAAACGTGCTGGATTAGTTGGTGTTTCATTCCTCTGTGGCGACCCCAGATTAATACAGGGATTTGGCCGAAAAGAAAATGAATGAATGAATGAATGAATGAATGAATGAATGAATGAATGAATGAATTTATTAATCTATTCAACATATCAGTCTGCATAATTTATCTATTTATAAATCTAACACAAATTTCCAGTTCACGTTTGTTTTGTTCTGTAGGTTTGTATTCAATGATGCTTTGCTGGAGCAGCTGAGTCAGCCTGCAGTTACAGTGTCCGTGTTTGATCATCATGATATGCATGGAAATGCAGGAGCTCATGCTGTGGTGGATCTTCCTGCAGGTTTGAGCCTCAAATTAATTACCTCTACAGTACCAAGACATCTTTCTAAGTCTGCTTGTTTTGGTTTACAGACATATCACCTTATGATGTCCTGGAGCTGGACACGTCTCTATCCTGTCCGGGCCGCAGAGATGAGACGTGTGCTCATTGGGATCACACAGTGCAGCTGTTCGTTTGCTGCAATGACAGCAGTCCCTATTGCAACCAGGAGCTCGGCCGCTGGGTAACAGCCTTCCGCAGGTACTTAAAAGCAATAATTGATTTTGTGATAATGATTATTATGATTATGATGATTATTTCAATACCATTATTTTGACTAATTTGGTGTTAGTCTTAAATGAACACTCCACGTTTTTTGAAAATGAGCTCATTTTCATGTCAGTAAATGTACAACATTAATTTTTTTTTTTTTTTTTTTTTAAGATATTTGAATGAAAAAACAAACATATTACATACAGTATTGTGCTTTTTAAAGGAAAACTTCCAGATTAGACCAACTTTTTTTTTTCATTTGAGCAAGATGCCAATGTTTAATCAGCTGAATGGATTCAAAAAGGGTAAAACTCAACTATTTAACTCTAGGTCAGTGGTTCACAACCATGTTCTTGAAGGACCACAAACTCTGCACATTTTCTACGGCGGTTTCTCAATTCCAAGAATGTAGAGAACGGACTTGCATTCTTGTGAAGACCGGTCTTCTGTTACCCCAGAAAAACGAACTCGGGAGAGTGCGAGAACGCAGAGCGTGTCCTGTAGGAAATGAGATGCTGCGTTCTTTCTGATGGTCACGTGATCTTCGAGTTTTTAACAGAAATTTATTTTAACATTACATTTTTTTTCACATTTTCACAATATATACTCTGCATAAAATACAAATACGTTGCACAATAGAAAATAAAACCTTTTAAATACGAATTTTCAGCAAATAAACACCCTTATTTTTTTTTTTTTAAGGTTTTCATGGTAACGTTTTCACCATCTCATTTAGGGAAGCTCCTAAGATGGTTATATCTCTGAACTTTGATAATAAATCTATATAAAATGCTGCGCTTCCCACCTCCTTTATTCAGCCGCAATGACTTCTCAACTGAGTTTTGCGTTTAAGTTTGCATCGATGCGTCTTCAATATCAAGAACACATCTGGGAACTTTCACACATCCTCCATTTTTGTGGTCCTTGCAGTACTGGAACTGAGCTTTGGCACTTGATGTTACATGAGAGCACAAGGGCGCAAGATTGCTTAAGAACGCATATTAAGAAACAGACTGGAAGACTGAAAGACCTGTAATGGATGTGACAAAGGAAACATTCAAAACATGCTGTGCTGGTTGTCCTCCAGGAACGTGGTTGAGAAACACTGCTCTAGGGGACTTGTAAAATAAGCCAATTTACAAAAAAAAACAACCATATCTAGTGTGTGAGTACACCCTAAATGTTTAATTCTTGGATTGACCATCCCTTTTAAATTCTCATTCAGGTTGAGAGCGGGGCATTATTCAGTGCACTGAAAGTGTTTCTGACTGTGTTTGCAGAGGCACAGGCCATTGGCTGACAGACGTGTCTGCTTTGATTCCCCTGCTGAATAACAAGAAATGCTCCTTCACCATGAAGACTGCGCCATGGGCAATGCCATGGATGACTACTCTCAATCTGCGCTTCAGTCAGAGCAATAAGACAGGTCAGAATCAGAATGCAAACATGATAAAACATTTAACCCTTGTGAGCTGTTGGGGATGTTTTCATCCACTCTGAGTTGATTTATTGTCTTAATTCAGCCACAATGTTCTCTGTGTTTCAGTAAATGGAATGACTTTTGCTGCCAAATCTTATCTTGACGCTTATTTTGGGCTTTAAAAATTTGCAATAACTCAACAGTACACTCTGGGCACCCTTTTGTTATGTTGGTGGCTGTTTTTGCCCCATTGACTTCCTTTTATAATTACATTTTTGATTGCAAAGCCATGACACCATATAATCATGCATTCTTGATTACTGCTGGTTTTCCCTGTTGGGAAGAGGTCAAATTTGTCATTTTTACTCTTCAGTTGCAGTGCAAAAGCAAGAGAGCTTAGTTTCTGGCTTAAATGTATATGTTATATGGATTACAGTGTGCCACATGTGAGATTGAGAGAGAACTTTGCCCGTTTACCTTGATATATTTGAGGAAAAAAAAAATCTCAGCTTGGTAAACATAGTAAACACAGTAAGTGTTTTTTGCACGAACGCTATAATCTAATTTTACTCCATAGGCATGTGCAAAAAAGGTTTCCCTCATTATGGAGCTCTATCTAAAGGGTTAATACAGCCAACAATTGAAAGGTTTTCCCACTTCTCAACAGGAATAAACACTGGAAATCTGGAATATATATGATAGTTCTGTGTCATGGTTTTGTAATCAAAGTAAGTCATTATAATGGAAGTCTTAAACAGACACTAACATAATAAAAGGGTAGTCAATTTGAACAGGGTTACGTTGCCAAAGCTTTGTTTAGGGGTAAATGTTTATCTTGAGCTTTGTTCATCACAGATTTGGGTTACAAATGGTTTGACCAGCTCAACTGTCTAAAGAAACGTTACTTGAGCTGCAAATCCAGCATATTAGAATGATTTCAGAAGGATCATGTGACACTAAATAAAGGAGTAATGACACTAAGTGCAGCTTCCTTACAAACAGCAGATATCCAGAGATATAAGAAGGGTAAAATGATCTCTTAACAGTATTTTAAATCCATAATTTTGGCTCCTGCTGCAATCACATTTTCTTGTTGCAACGTAAATTCTGAAGTCTATCAGGATATATGATGTTATCACTACATAGGCCTAATGAATTTTATTAGCTAATGCCCAATAACAAATTTAAACTCTTAATAGTTTATTAAATGCAGTTAAAAACTAAGAAATTACCAGTAACATTTTCAACCTAGTAAATGATTTTGTAGTTCTCATTGCCTTTACAAATAGGGTGACACGGAAAATGTCAAAATAATGATAACTGACAGTATTTTCAAGTGCCTATGATATAAGCTCACAAAAATTGGACGATAGAAGATTGGAAAAACATTGCTTGGTCTGAGTCTCTATTGAGTCTCTATTGTCTGCTGCAACATATAGATGATAGGGTCAGAATTTGCCATCAACAACATAAAAGCATGGATCCATCCTGTCTTGTATCAATGGTTCAGGCTGGTGGTGGTGTAATGGTGTGCGAGATATTTTCTTGGCACACAACACCACAGCCTACCTGAGTTCATCCCTTTATAATCACAGTGTACCCATCTTCTGATGGCTACTTCCGGCAGGATAACGCACCATTTCAAAAAGTGTGAATCATCTCAGACTGGTTTCTCGAGCACGACAATGACTTCACTGTTCTCAAATGGCCTCCAAAGTCACCAGATCTCAATCCAAACATTGGTTGAAAAGAAGATTGACATCATGGATGTGCAGTCGACGAATCTGCAGCAGCCGTGTGATGCTATCATGTCAATATGGACCAAAATCTCTGAGGAATATATCCAGTACCCAAACGGCAGTTCTAAAGGGAAAACTACTAGTAAGGTGTACCTAATAAAGTGGCCTGTAAGTTCTATGCAGAAAAAAATTAGCTTTGTAGCTTTGCCTGTAAAATTTAGCTTTGCTGAAAGACCTTATATTTGAAAATGCATTCAGATAGTAAACAGTCCTTTTACACGGTATTCTTATTTCACAATATCCCTGTTTCCATGTAGGCCGTGGACATCGTGTTTCAGAACATTTATGCACCGAAGTTCCCTGAACAAAACACGTCAAAGACAAATTTATGATGTCCAGCTGTAAAAGCCATTACTCACCCACACGTGTGCTAGCTAGTCATCCTTTAAAAGAACAATGTGAGGTGTCTGCATTTATTAAAAAAAGCAGGAAGTGTTTATATCATCTGCTGAAAATATTATATTAGTCAGATTACACTTCTGCCTTAATCAGGTGCTGTAAAGAACAGCTGTTATTCAGCTTCCTGTGCACTCACAGATTGCAGTCAGTGTCGCTATTTTATGATTTAAGCTTCTTTAAACAAAGTCATACTGATGATTATCATTTGCTTTATTTTTAGTGCACTTGTAGGAAACCATAAGTTCATTCTTGGAAGCTACATTTTAGGGGTTTGGCTGTGTGAATGTGTCAGTATGATTCTAGCTGATGTAGTAATAAAGCAAGTTAAACGGATCTGCTGTGGGATCAGAACATGTGTCATGAATATTGACGACCTCGGGCACTGTGTTTGCAGAAAGACTGTACCCTTTCGAGGTGATGCCGCTGTTCAATGGAGGGACGTTTGATAAGGACTATAACCGCAGATACCATGAGATCACCTTTAGTATTCCAGCTGCAACAAAGAAGGTGATGGATCCTCGTATAATATTATTGTAATGTATACATACAATAAAACTTACACTATATTCAGTCAAGGCCGAAATTGTTCATACCCCTGGCAATCTCTGACTTGGTTACTTTTTGTTCATATTTTATTCAGCAATGTTTAATAATTTATTTTTAGTACTGGATATGGCATCTCGCAAAAGACCATATGCACATGTTACATTTGAACATAAAGCGACATGTGCAAAACTATTCATACCCTTCTCAATGATTAATAAAGCTTTTATTGGCTGTTACAGCAATCAGACTCTTCCTACCATTTCTGACCTGAGTTTTGCATTCCTCTGCTGGTATTTTTACCCATTCATCTCTGGTTGGATGGTCTACTTCCCATCACCCTGATGTTTAGCTCCCCCCACAGTTTCTTAATTGGTTTTAGGTCAGGACTCTGGCTGGGTCACTGCAAAACATTAATGTTTCTGTATACAGTCAAACCTGAAATTATTCATGACACTGGCAAATTCTGACTTGGTTACTTTTTTTTCTTCCTGAAATGACACCAGCTTCTGCCAAAAGATAACAAGACCATGTACAAGAGGCATCATTGTTGGAAAACAATTTTTTTTCTCAGCTTCTCAGCTTATTTACATTTGAACAAAGTGGCTTGTTCCCATTCATCTCCGGTTGGAGAGTCTCCTGGCCATCACCCTGATGTTCCTCCACAGATTCTCAAATTGGTTTAAGTCAGGACTCTCATTTGGCCACTGCAAAAGGTTATTGTTTCTATATACAGTCAAGCCCAAAATTATTCATTAAACTGGCAAATTCTGACTTGGTTACTTTAATTTAGCCAGCAAGTTTTGTTTTGTTTGGCTGAAATGACACCAGCTTCTACCAAAAGATAATAAGACTATGTACAAGAGACATCAATGTTAGGCAAAACATTTTAAGATTATTATAATTTTTTTTTTAATTTACCTTTGAACAAAAAGTGGCATGTGCTGAACTATTCATACCTTTCTCAATAGTAAATAGAAAAGCTTTTAATTGGCTATTATAGCCATCAGACTCTTCCTATAACTGCTGACTAGCTTTTTGCATTCCTCCACTGGTATTTTTACCCATTCATCTCCGGTTGGAGAGTCTCCCGGCCATCACCCTGATGTTTAGCTTAATCTACCGATTCTTATTTTGGTTTAAGTCGGGACTCTGGCTGGGCCATTGCAAATTGTCTTGCCTGCTCACCATTTCTTCACCACTTTTGCTGTGTGTTTTGGGTCAGTGTCATGCTGAAATGTATATGTATTTTGTATAAATAAGTAACGGACTATATTCATTAAACTTCCCTTAAACTGAATGATTGTCTTTGTGCATGTTGGAATGGCAGGAGTTGCATGGCACTGTCGTTAGTTTGGTTCTTATGATCATCAGTGGTAGTAACAACTATGATAAATGCATTGCAATATAAAAAATACAAGTTATCATATTATCATATTATTATTATTATTATTATTATCATCATCATCATCATCATCAATACGTCGTCGTCATCATCAGCAGCAGTAAAAAAAGCTTTTAATAATTTTTTTTATTTTTTTTTTATTTTTTTTTTTTAATGATTTTATTATTTATTTGGATAGGTGGGAGTTTTGTAATGCTTTATTTGAATAATCAGTATTACCCTGTATGTTCTGGCAGGTGGAGTTATATGCTGTTATTACCGGTCACGGCTCCGATGACAACAACTGTGGGGAATTTTGTGTGACGTCGCATTACTTCCTGATCAACAGATCCATCAATAACACCCTGGTATTCGAGGCAGCTGGTGAGTATAGGACCAGGCTGAACAGACACTACACTATCACATTTTATCAGATTTATTGAGTAAAACAGAGTAATACAGATATGTTTGTGTGTGTGCACCGGCAGGATCTCCTCTGGGCTGCTCCCTGCTGGTGCCTAAAGGAGGAGTGCCGAATGAGTGCGGCACTTGGCTATATGGCCGTGGCGGCTGGTGTGATGGACTACAAGTGGATCCCTGGAGGACAGACATCACTTCACAGGTAAATAAAATAATACTGGAGATGATGATGATGCAATCCAGGAGCATGCAACATATAGTGCACATACTAATACTGGCAACCTTGGGAAAAAAGTGAAGGTGTCTCATGTTTTTATCCAAATATTAACAGTAAACCTTCTCTTGGTGCTAAACATATGGAAAACAAAACTACAGAAACTGTCAAATTTACATTTTTTTTATAATTCTTATAGTTGATTTATGATTAAGATTTATTACTTAGTATTATTATGAGTGGTTGTTGTTGTTGTTGTTGTTGTTGTTGTTATTATTATGTTTTTTTATTATTTGTATTATTATTGTTGTTATTATTATTTGTGAAAATGTGATTTTTAAATACCATTCAAATTAATATACTTAATTAATTGAGGACACATTGCATTGGTCAAGAGGGAATAAATGTAATATAATAGATATTTTACAGTAAAATCGGTAAAGTTATTTTTATAACTATATAAGTACTATACAAATATATAAGTAACTATATGAGTAATAAATGACTATAAAAGTAATTGTTATAACCAGTGTTAAACTTTTGAGCTGCTTCATATTTTATTTTGGAAAATGTGATGCTGTACCATTCAAACATTTAATTGTGTTTGTTAACGACACATTTCCTTGATATAAATGTAAATATAATACATAGATTATATTAAAATAAACATTTTTGCATTGAGTAAATAAATAAATAAATAGATGATGATGATGAAGAAAATGATGATTATGATAATGATTTTATCCGTGTTTGGCTTTATTTTTTATTTTTTAAATCACAAATTCTATTATAAGAATGATTAGTGATTGAGATCCAATAATAATTGATCATAGTAAAACGTGAATATTGAAATCAATTCAGAAAGATCATGTGACACACAAGACCAGACTGATGATGCTGGAAATCCAGATATTGGGAAAATGACATTTTAAACTACATTTAATAAGAAAACAACATTTGTATCAAATTGTAAAATGAAGGTTTACAGTTTGTATTTAAAACAAAAAGAAAACCAAAAAAACTCCACCGTAAATGCTCATTCAGGGCAATAATTAATCAATTCCAGTCAATTAGAAGTGTTCTGATTTGTGTTGATGTGTTCTGAAAGGCCTGCTGTGTTTATAATTTAAAGCATTTTGTTTTTTATATAGCTGGACATGAGTGGATCCAATTCGGTCCGTTACTTTGGACTCTTTGAGGGACGAGACCCAAATCCAAAGACTGACCCCGGGAATATACTTATGTACTCCTATCTAGTGTTTTATCAATGAATGTATTAATGGAAAATTAACCAAAGCACTTTTTTTCATTATCGCTCAATCATTCAGGATTTTTTAGTATTCCCTCATGATGCTGTTTTTTTTTTAAGCAACAGGTTATTGTTCAAGTGCAATTTGACTACTCCGATTAGACAATCTGGACATCACTTTATAGACTCATACGTTGGCAGGTATTTTTCAAATAAAATTTTTCCATGTGAAATACAGATGTCTCGGTTCTTTTATTTTTTTAAATGAATATTGCGATTTTATATTTGAATCTATAACCATACAAAATTAATTTAAGTGTTCTATAATGTTTGTTACGAATTCTAATCTTGCTTGGCTCCACACAGCAAGCCAGACCTGTAACAATAAATAATATTAAAAAAAAAAAATTAGAGCTCCTCTAAATTAATGAGGAGCCCAGAGTCTCATCTCCCGTATCAAAGAAAAAACAACAAAGATAAATGACCAGGGAAAATGATGTAAAATCAAACTTATTTGACGTTTAAAAATCAAAAGGAGACAATAAAAAGCTTGCGGAGGTAAATGGCAAAATAACAAACAAAACTCAACAACTAACTAAGCTTTTAACCCTCCTACCTGCACATGAAATAAAACAAATAAAATAGCATTCACTTACCTCCCTACTAACCACAAAACATGAGAAATGTTTAATAAAAACAAAAAGGCACTCTCCTCAGCACACACGTCTCAAAGTTAACACTCAGCGTTCACTTTCAACAATTTAGCTGAGTAAATACGATGTTAAATATTCCTAATGCAGTGTGTCATTTATAGTATTTCTAGATAATTGAGATGTTGGACGCTGGTCCTGTTTCCAGTTTAGCAGAATGCATTTCCTATAGATGCATCATAGATGAATACATTAGATGTCGCCTACCTTGTTGTTGTCTATTGGAAGGAATGCGTCAATAGAGCCGCCATTTTAGTACAGGGTAGCACTCATTTGAAATGAATGCAGGACCAAACTGCAGTGGAGGACTGTGGCCATCCAGAGCCAGAGAAATACACGGTTATCTATGATTGGAAGTTTTCCCGGAGGTCAGAATGGAATTTATTTATTTATTTATTTATTTTAATTATGAAACTTATTTTACATCCCTTTTCTACATTGATGGATCAGTGACCAAACGGGCATTCCTGTCAAAAAGCTTGTTTGCGTGTGTAATGTACTCTCCACCCTCCTTGTTAAATTGATCTAATCATGTCCTGAAACACACCTCCTCTACTGTTTTTCACTTCTTATACTGACGAAGGGAGCGATTCGTTTGTGAATGAATCTCCGTTATGAGCGACTCCTTCACTAGCCGACGATAATACAAGTTTCTGGCACCGCATCTTCTAGTTGTCATATTTTTTTTGCATTGTTTGCTGATTTTATTCAACAAAACTAGCATAAGCCGAGTGTTTAGTGCGAGTTGCTGCTGCTTTGCCTTATGTTGAATGCAGTAAGTGACCGATTATCATCAATAACGTTGCGTATTTAGCACAAAAGTTCATAACATACAAAAACGTAAAAAACTAGATCTTACCTATGAAATGTTCTGCCTTTGTGCTTTGTTTTATTTGTTTGCTACTACTGTAGACAGTCCAGCATCCAGCATCTTCACATAGTAACACTGTCTTGACTAGTGCGGTTGAATGACATTTGTTCTGGGAGCACTGTACAATTATGGCGGCGCTTTTGACGCATGCTCAGGGTCCTTATGCGATATCTTGTGTGTGTGTGTGTATTTATTTATTTATTTATATATAAATAAATGTTTTCATGTTCAAAAACATGTTCAAATCATGTTTTCAGGACATGATTAGATCATAAATTTATTTATATATATATATAAATATATATAAATATATATATAGAAATTAGACCCTCTATTTTAGTAAATAAAGGGTGTGATACCTCATTCAAGAAGATATATTAAAGGAGTCTTGTGACATTTCTTTTTCAGGACCAATAATTACAGTTTTTTTTATTTTATTTTTTTTATTATTTTTTTTATTTCATGCGATTATTCCAAAATGCTCATAAAAATAGGTAGATGGAAGCACAGCTAGTGCGTCTATGTATCCATTAGATAATAATATTGAAGTACAAATACCACTGTTAAATTGGGAAAAGTCTTACAAAAAGAAATAAACCTCAGTCACTTCTATAATGTCTTCCTACTCTGTCTAATAGTCTTCGTGAAGAGCTTTCATCTGAAGTTTGCTCAATTATATGCAATATTCCAGCAGCTTAACTCAAAGATCAGCGAAATCTTCAGAAAATCGCTTTCCACTTTCAAGCAGTTTTAAGTACCCGATTCTCGTTGACCCAACAAACTTTTAACTTCGCTTCACGGAAATAAAGTATTACAGCGTCTTTGGTGTTCAGCAGCTCCATGCCGAGACTATCAAAGGGGGTGGAGCGTATCCAAGACTATGCAAGACATGCACTGCACAGGTTGAGCCCTATGTGTACACCTGGTGTTCAGTAACTTTGTCATGGATGTGTTTGCAGATCATTTAAAGCTCTACTGTATGTACTGTAAATATCAGTTCATTACTTTGAGAGAGAGAAAGGTTATGATTGTTGTTGGTTTTAATGACTGATTTAATAACTGTTGCGTCAGAGGCTGAAGGTGTGCTATCAAGACATGATAAATCCTGCAACGTCACTATAAGATCAAATAAAAGTGTGGAGGAAAGGATGAATAAAGAGATGTGACTGATGGCAAAGGCAGTTTTTTGTGGCTAATATTCGAGAAAATGAGACCAATGTGAGCTAAACCGCAACACTATGGTAAGAGTCTTTTTTTTTTTTTTTTTTTTTTTCTAATTATTGATAATGATAATATTTATTCTGCTGTGGATGGTTGCATTGCGTGCCATTTCACATTTTTTGCTCTTTCCTTTTAGATTTTTCAGCATTTATTGCTCTTCTGTGGGATGTTGCTTGGTTTTACTTTTGTTTTTGTTTAGCCCCCCTGAATTATTAGCCCCTCGGTTTATTCCCCCCCCCCCAATTTCTGTTTAACGGAGAGATTTCTTCAGCACATTTCTAAACATAAGTTTTAATAACTCCTCTCTATAACTGATTTATTTTATCTTTGCCATGATGACAGTAAATAATATTTGACTAGATATTTTTTAAAACACTTCTATACAGCTTAAAGTGACATTTAAAGGCTTAACTGGGTTAATTAGTTTAATTAGGCAGGTTAGGGTAATTAGACAAGTTATTGTATAATGATGGTTTGTTCTGTAGACTATAGAAAAATCTATAGCTTAAAGGGTCTAATAATTTTGTCTTTAAAATGGTGTTTAAAAAATTAAATACTGCTTTTATTCAAGCCGAAATAAGACTTTCTCCAGAAGAAAAAAATATTATCAGACATATACTGTGAAAATTTCCTTGCTCTGTTTAACATCATTTGGGAAATTTATTTTAAAAAATACAAAGGGGGCTAATAATTCTGACTTCAACTGTATGGTATGGTATGTATGTATGTATGTATGTATGTATGTAGGTAGGTATGTAGGTATGTATGTATATAGGTATGTATGTATGTATGAATGTATGAATGTATGTATGTATGAATGAATGAATTGGTTTTGAAGGCAGAGCATTTACACCTGCACATATTTGCTTTTTTTTCCCCATTTACAATTCATGGAGTCGCTTTTTAATATTTAGGAAAATAAGACTAACGTGAGCTAAACTGTTCTTTTTTTTCTTTTTTCTGTACTACTACTACTACTACTAATAATAATAATAATAATATCCAGATATGGATGGTTGCTGGCATGTTTTTCTCATTTTTTGCTTTCTTTTCTTTCAGATTTCTCCACACTTATTACTCTTCTGTGGGATATTGCTTGGTTTTGTGTTTGTTCAGCAGCTCGTATATTTAAGGATTGAAGGCAGAACGTTAACACCTGCTCATATTCTTTCCTCTCACGCCAAGAGTCATGCATGGAACAAGAAAGGTTTGTTTATTGTTTATTTCTTTTTTTTCATTGTCATTAGTTCGAGCACGCATCTCAATTTTTTGTTCTTCAGCTTGTCCAAAATTACTTGTTTTCAGCTGTATACGCTTTCACTTAACATTATTAAATGTTTATTTATTACTTATTTTAGCTCTTTTTTTGTCTCCCTAAAGTACGACTAAAATGCATAGATTGTCAATTTTGCTTTTAAATGTTTTTAAGCATTTAAACAAGTCAGATCAAGTTATTTGTAACTGCATTATAAGCAAATACTACTATTTTTTTTTATTAGTCTCCAAAGTTTAGTCTAAATGATTATAAATATTATTTAGAAATTCTTAAATGCTCATCATGGCTGGATTTAGTATTATTATTATTATTATTAGTATTATTATTATTATATAGAAATACAATAATGCTGTCAAATTCTGTTCATCTTTACATCTATAGCACTTTTACAATGTAGATTGTGTCAAAGCAGCTTAACATTGTAGTTCTAGTAAATTGAAATGGTCAGTCCAGTTTTCAGAGTTTAGTTCAGTTTTGTGTAGTCTATATTAAACTGCTGAAAGCTCAAACACTGAAGAGCAAATCCATCGATGCACAGCTTCACAAATATTATCATGTCATCATATGTCAAATACTATAAGTTTAAAATAACCTTTTTACATCTTAATTATTCACATTTTAAAATGTATTCTGTTATTTAAAGCTGAATTTTAAACAAAGACAAGTGACCAAGGAAATGATGGAAAGTCAAATACTGCTGATATCTCCTAATAATTTATCCATGTTCAAGACAGTTGTGCTGCCTTTTTTAGAAACGTGTGTGTGTGTGTGTGTGTGTGTGTGTGTGTGTGTGTGTGTGTGTGTTTACACTGTAAAACCCAACAGTCAACTTTATCAAATTAAATGAGTATAGTCAACTTAAAATTTACTGATAGTTAGTTCTACTGAAAAGAGTTTGAGCTAAGAGGTAATGAATTAAATACCTCATTACTTCAACTTAAATGGTGTAAAATCAAAGTACTCATAGATTTTTATTTTATTTTTTACTTAAATTGTTTGTAGTAATCGGTTTCCTCAAATGGTTTGAGTTGCTTTAACTTATTGGGTTTTACAGTACTCAGTTGGTTTGTGTTCTTTCCATTTATTGGGTTTTACTGTGCTCAAACTGCTTCGTTTACTCAAATGGACTAAGTTCACAGTACTCATTAGGATTAGTTTTTGAACTTAAATGGTTTGTTGTGATCTGTTTCCTCAAATGGTTTGAGCTACCCTAACCTTTTGGCTTTACAGTATCTGTATATCCTGTTTCACTTCTGTAACTAGTCTTTTTGGAAGTATAACCTCAACACTTTCAGACATTAAAATAGCTCAATTTTAATCGAAATAATTATTTGTTCACATTGTTATTAAACAAATATTTCCTATTGTATTAACATTGAAAATGTATGCTTTTTTAATTTTTTTCTCAACAGCAAAAAACGGTTTAATTTATAAAGTTGAAGTCAGAATTATTAGCCCACCCTTTTTTTATTATTCATTTTTGAATATTTTCCAAATTATGTTTAACAGAGCAAGGAAATTTTCACAGTATGTCTGATTATATTTTTCCTTCTGGAGAGTCTTATTTGTTTTATTTCGGCAAGAATAAAAGCAGTTTTACATTTTTTTTTAACACCGTTTTAAGGTCAAAATTATTAGTCACCTTTAAGCTATATTTTTTCTATAGTTCACAGAACAACCCGTCGTTATACAATAACTTGCCTAATTACCCTAACCTGCCTAATTAACCTAGTTAAGCCTTTAAATGTCACTAAGCTCTATAGAAGTGTCTTGAAAAATATCTAGTTAAATATTATTTACTGTCATCATGGCAAAGATAAAATAAATCAGTTATTAGTAATGACTTAACATGTTTAGAAAATTGTTAAAAAAAATCTACTCTTAAACAGAAATTGGGGGAAAAAATAAACAGGGGGGTTAATTCTGGGGGGCTAATAATTCTGACTTCATCTGTATATATAAATATTTAATAGAGAAGATTAATTTTCCAACATTTTAAGCATTGTTGTTTTAAGAACTCATTTCTAATGTTGAAGACATCTCTTTTTTTCTTTTAAGATTCTTGTTACTCCACAAACATATATATAATCCTTAAATAGAGATTTTTTTTTTCAACGTTTTTAAATGTGGAAGTTGTGAAAATAGCACATTTCTAATAGCATATTTATTTTGTCCCTGTCATGATGCCAGTACAGAATATTATGCTTGTTATTTTAGAAGATGCTATTCAGTTTAAACTGTGGCATAACCGGGTAAATTATGTAAGGGTTAATAATCTTGATATAATGTGAATTTTTCTTATTTATTTCTTTAAATTGCTTTTATTCCAGCTAAATCAAAAGAGAAGTGAGACCATCTCTACAAGGAAAAATATAGGAAATATTCGGAAAAATTCTAGACAAATATTTTTGAAAACAAAACATTTAAAGGATAGCTAATAATTTTGCCCTCTTTTTCCCTAATTTTGCTAATATACATTTTAGTGTTTTGTACGTAATTTGAACGCTGTTGAGTCAATTTGAGCACCATTTGAGTCGATGGCTCTTGAGTACACTCTTAAACAGCGCTGATTAGCCATTGGTTTCTGTGCTCAACAGAAATGACTGTGATTGGCCTTGAAGGTCATCAGTTTATCGAACTCATCGCTGTTTACGGAGTGTAACTAACTGGAGCGTTTTAAAGCCGAGAAGATCAGCTGGTTCGTTTATAAGCTGACATGCGAGCGATCTGTTGATGAATCGACTGATCTTCACAGCTTTAAAACCCTTCTGTATCTGTATCTGTTACATCCGTAGTTCTCACAAATGTCTTTAGGGTAAATTCTGGTCAGTGTAATGCCTCCTTGTTTAATAAAAGCTTTAAAGCATTTGAAAAGATTTTGACCATCTCTGCTTGATTTTGACAGCTGATCTGGTGCAGTCTCTGTATCCTCGTGTTCGTGTGTTATGCTGGATCATGACGAGGCCTGAAAACCTGCAGAAGCGTCTCCAGCATGTGAATGCCACCTGGGCTCAACACTGTAACTTGGTGCTGTACATGAGCTCGCAATCCTCAGATTTCCCCACAGTAGGTCTAAACGTCAGCGAGGGTCGATCGCAGCTCTACTGGAAGACCATCCGAGCCTTTCAGCACATCCAAAAACACCACCTCCAACACGCCGACTGGTTTCTCAAAGCCGATGACGACACCTTTGTGGTGCTGGAAAACCTCAGATACCTACTCTCCCAGCACGACACCGAAAAACCTCTTTATTTCGGACACAAATTTCGTCCGTTTGTGCGGCAGGGATACATGAGCGGTGGAGCCGGGTATGTTTTGAGCCGAGAGGCGCTCAGGAGATTTGTGCAAGGATTCGTGACGGGACGCTGCACTCATTTCAGCTCTCTGGAGGACATGGCATTGGGCCGCTGCATGGAGATTATGGGAGTGAAGGCTGTGGATACTAGAGATGCCAATCTGAGGGAAACATTTAATCCGTTCTGGCCTGATAAACACCTCATTCACAAGGATAATACAAAGAAACAGGACTCGTTGTACAGTTACTATAAAACCAAACTGGTGAGTGTTTGTTTTTGAGATTTAATTAGAATTAACAGAGAGGGATTTGATTTAGTCCAGGGTTATTCAATTGGTGGCCTGCGGGCCGAATCCAGCCCCAGAGGCACTTTGTTCTGGCCCTCTAAACAGTGTGACCAAGACATCAAAAATAAATTTAGTTCAGTCGACAAACAGCCGCTATAGTTATGAAGTTAGGCGAGTAAGGCTGCACAGAGCGCGAGTCATCACATTTTAGTCCATTTGGAGGGTTACTGGATTTGGTTTGCAGTAGAGCTGCACGATTCTAGCTAAAATAAAAATCACGTTTTTTTTTTTTTTTATGCTTAAAATAAAGAACACGATTCTCTCACGATTCTATCGATGTAAAATAAAGGTATGGTAAAAACAAACATATGGCACAACCTCGATAATAACATTATGTGTAGGTCTACTGGATTCTATAAATAATTCTATTCTACTTATAATAATTCTGATGTTCAAATATGTTTGAGATATATGCTTGCAATCTGTCATATTAGACAATTTTATTCACTGGTAAAATCAGACATTTGCCATTATCAAATTATATTCAACAATATATAGGCTAGAGTAGTTATACTGACATTGTAAACATTTATTTTTATGCACAACTATGGGTTCGCTATGAAAGAAAAAACATCAAATGCTTGTCGTAATCATAACTCTAAACTGCGATATGATCATTTAAATGAAGTGCACACTTTCGGTTTCATTTTGACTGCTAAGTACTGTTCATACTTCGCGCGCGGCTTCCAAACGATCACTCTGTGCCACAAACTGAATATTATTTACAGCTGTATTACCTGTTACTCGCAACATATGCAGGTTCTGTTCACTAAAGTAGACGCGCTCTTCATCGCTCTATCATTAAGTAGAGCGCACGCGCGCCCTCTCTGTGATAATAGCTCACGGTCAGCAGCTCACATCACGTGTGATTTCCCGGCTGCAAAAAATCATATTAAGACAAAAATTACATTTTTAGGTGAATTATACCTTATAAATACATTATGTAACTCAAAATCGTTTGTCAATGTCACTGAGCAATGTATGTGAAACAATGAAAAGACTCGTGCAGCCGCCTTTTCTTCTCTCCTGAACTTGAAAATATGATTAAGATCGTCTAGAGCAGGGGTTTTCAAACTGGGGTCCGCGGCCCCCTGGGGGGCCGCCAGATGGCGCTAGGGGGGCCGCAAAGAAATTTTAGATCAATGAGCCCACATGGATGAATTTTGTGTCCCGCAAAATATTTTTCCCGCATAAATATTCGTTCCGCATATATTTTTATTATAATTTGAGCTTAAAAGTACTGCAAAATGAAGCTTTATGCTTATGTCATTTAAATGGAGAGGGTGCTCGCTGCAGAGCCATTTGAGGAGAGGTGAGCTCCAGAGAGGGGGAGCATGAGCTGTCGCTCCTCCTCCTGTAAGCTGTTTTAATGCGTACACCAACCCCACCTCTAACCCTACCCCCAGTGACATCACTCGTAGAAGAAGTGCAAAAAAGGTGGAGCTCAAGCTTAAGCTCCCCCTCTCTGGAGCTCACCTCTCCTCAAATGGCTCTGCAGCGAGCACCACTTGTTTAAATGCAGTTGACACTTTCGTGACACAGGAAAAGAAGCGCAGCGGCCCGCCTCCGTGGACGGGGATTTTTATTGAATAAGCGCTTCTGGCCAGGCGCTTCCTGACTGTGATTTTTGGCGCTTGTCTGCTGCACCTGACGGCGTTTACCTTTCACTTACGCTTACCTCTTTTACGCTAAACAACTAAATGAATGCTCAGGTTTCACTGACTATATTTCAGTTAAAATACATGATCACTAAGAACATTATTGGTGGCTGAAAGCACTACCCTGTTTATGGCTAAGTAACCGAGGTGCTGCGGAGTACGCGCCTCTCTGCGCAGGCTTCACTCATAGGGAACAAATATCATTTTAAAGACACGGCACAACATTGCACCTCGTCCACAGCGCGACAGGCTTTTACACTTTGCATTGTACAAATATCAGACGGTCCTCTTTGCAGCATGGCAAACAAACATATTAAAATTGTAAAGCAAAAAGTGCTGCAATAACAATGAATGGAGCTGTCATCACATCAGCGAGTTCTCAGTTTCACTCCTGTTACATTAATGACAGCTGGATGAGCTCTGCAGTGGACCTCTTACTCACATTGGTTCATAACTGGATGATTAAAAAAAACTAAATTGTATACACACTGAGTAAAACCACTATAGCCTTTAAAAATTATAATGTATCTGTTTGTGTTATGTTATAGGGCTAATAATTATTAAATATTAAAATGTATTAGTGCTCTGTATTTAATGGAGCTCAACATACCTGATCAAATTTTAATACTCTGAATATAAATGCATTTTTGTTCCACTTTTTCCCATATTTGTTTGTGTAACTAATTTAAATGTAATGTTCAGTATTATTATTAATAGAACAAACTGGTATGAACATTTTAAAGTCAGCAAAGCTTCTAAAATTATGCAAAGTAAAACTTGTGACTCTTTGAACATGAATACCCAATTCTAGATTGCATTTAGGAAATTATTTTTTTATCAGTGTAAGTCAGGATTGTCGACCTGAGTAAATTATGATGTGCACAAAAAAAAAAGGAATAAAAATAAACAAAACACACAGCCTCCATTGTAGTATTGCTAGTTACAACAGTACAGTTAACTGTTAACAGGCTGATGAATGACAAAACTCTTTAAAACTTTAAAGCTTTAAATCTTTAGATACATTTAGACTCTCAGCTGTAAGGGTAAATACAGAAGAGTCTAGCTGTGCATAGGCTGAAAAAAAGCATAAAAATGGCATAAAAACTGTGTAAACGTGACGACTTGTACACAAAATATGGCTTGATGAAATAATCCAGTGAGAGCAGACCACAATGAGTACTGCGCATCAAGATTTGATCAATAGATTGAAGCACTAAAACCATGTCAACTCAACTAACATCTTACAAAAATTAATCCAGATAATGAATAATATAAATTTATTGAATAATATATAATAATATAAATGTATTGAATAATACAATAAAAAAAATTAAGTACAGTTGTTAATTTGAGGGGGTGGCGTCATTTTAATTTTTGGGGGGTCCCCAAAAGAATTCGCCCTACACAAAGGGGCCCTCAGCTGAAAAAGTTTGAAAACCCCTGGTCTAGAGCAGGGGTCACCAATCTCGGTCCTGGAGGGCCGGTGTCCCTGCAGGGTTTAGCTCCAACTTGCCTTAACACACCTGCCTGGGTGTTTCAAGTATACCTAGTAAGACCTTCATTAGCTTGTTCAGGTGTGTTTGATTAGGGTTGAAGCTAAAATCTGCAGCACACCGGCCCTCCAGGAACAAGTTTGGTGACCCCTGGTCTAGAGGGTCGAATCAAGATCGCGATCTTTTAACGATTAATTGTGCAGCTCTAGTTTGCAGTCACTGGATGTCTTGTGAGTGGCATTAAAGTTTTTGAAAATGAGCTTCCATGCAGTGTGTAACAGCTCTAAGTGAATGAAAACATCCAGCTGATGTTTAAATCTAAAGTGCAATGCGTTTAAAACTATTGATTCTTTAACGAAATGAAAATAGTTTTAATCTTTTGCCTTAACGCATCAATGTTGATAAGGCACAACACCTAATATGTAGTACCGGATCCGGTAAAACTTGAACGAGCCTTTCCCTGGGTCATCGAACCAATCACTACAGATTAGCATCACGCAAAAGAGGGGTGAATCACTGTATGAATCATATGGGAGTTGCTGGGGTAATTAGGTAAAAATAAATGCAAATTATAAGAAGTTTTTTTGACCTTGCATGCATATCAGCCTGTTGTTGGACACCCCCAAAACCAAAATATGACACATTATAATGCAAAATAGGGGCTCTTTACATTTACTATCATTAAAATAGAGAGTTCCTCCTGGATTTAGTCAAATTGTTGTTGGGATAAAAAAAAAAAAGAAAAATGTTAAAAGATTTAGCATTTTCACAGCAAAACACAAGAATTGAAGTAAATAGATAGTGTCTTAAGTTTTGCAAAAACCTTTAACAAATTTTAGGCCATAAATAAATGAATGGAGGGACTGAGTACAGCATAATTGTGTTTTCTCTACTTGCTGTATAGTCACTATGAAACCAAACTGGTGAGTGTTTGTTTGTTTTTATTTTGATTTTATTAGAATAAATACAGAGAGGGATTTGATTTTAGGCCATTCAGGGGGTTTTATTTAATGGTTGTAACTTGCAGTTATTGTATCTCTTATGAGTGACATTAAACTACCATCATTAAATTAGAGATTTCCTCCAGGATTTCGCGAGTCCAATGATTGTCAGGATCAAAAAAAGGAAAATGTTAGAAGTTTGTGCATTTTCACAGCCAGTGTTGGGGAGTGACTAGTTACATGTAACGACGTTATGTAATTTAATTACAAAATAAAAGTAACAGTAATTCGTTAAAGTTACTGAGAATATGCTAAATTAAATTGCAGTCACTTATGAAAATGTTAAAGATTACATGTAAACATTTTCTTTAAAAATCTGACATTTTGGATAATATTAATCTGTTGCTTTGCCTGTTTTTGATATGCACGATGCCTTCTCAGGGCTCGAAATTAACTTTCTTACTTGGTAGCACCGGTGCTCCCAACCTGAAATATTTAGGAGCACCAGAAAAAAATTAGGAGCATCCACCAAAAATGAATGATATATTTGACAAGTTGTATATTAAGGGATTTATTGTATTTGAAAATAACATCAATTGGGACTAACAAAACCCAGAAACAACTATCTAACTAATGCTGTGGTGACTTAATATTTGTGCAATAATTCCAAAATGAATGTTGAATAATTATAAAATATTAATGATGATGATGATGACAATAATACTAATAATGAATAATATTTCTCATCATCATGATGCCTTAAATGTGCTTTAATGCAAGTTATCTGCTATATAAAGTCCTACTGTTAATTTATGAAAAATGAAAAATAAATTGATGGTTTGCATCAAACACAAATGAAGCATTGTAGTAAGAAATATTTATTTTGTACTATTGTTTTTATATGCATGCCAATTTAATAAATAATATTTCTGCTACAAAACAAACGAAATAATATAATAAATAATTTAATCCAATGCTGAAAGCTGCAAAGCAGTCATCAGTAATTAAATAGAAAAATAATATAGACCTCAAGAAAGAACAGACAAAAGAAAGGAAGAAAAGCCTCACTTTTAAAAGTTTTGGTTTCGGTTCGTGTTGTTTTAATGCTCAGCCTCTTTATGCGCTGAATTACATTTTTCTGTGTTTGCGGGACAGCATGCGAGTCAGCCGGCCCAATAAGAGGGGGGCAGAGCAGGATTCTCCCGATGCCCACCGGCGCAATACTGTTCTTTGTTATAACCCGCATCAGATCAAACTTAGTAAAGGCAAGCTTCTTTGGCGATGGTGTTTTAGCGGACATTTGCGCTGTTGCAGCCTGCTCACGAGGAAACGTATGAAAAAGTTATGAATTGCCGTGAGATTGTGTTGGCTGAACGCTGTGCATACAACGCATCGAGATTCAGTGTACTTTTCACTCTTCAGCCGTTTGCAATCCCCGCGGTCACAAAAGCTCCCTCCCTGTCATCTGACAGCGGAAAGTCTTGAGTGATTGACGGCTAATATGAACCAATATAGCGGCAGGGAAGAGCGAATTGACCACGTTTTTAGAAAAAAAAAAAACAGGTCGCACTATAACCATAATATGCAGTCGCACGAATGCTCCCAATATATATTATGAGTCGCATAGCTTAAATTTCGGGCGCATATGCGACTAAAATGGTCGCAATTTCGAGCCCTGCTTCTGCTAAGGCCATTTACTAAAGCGTTGCTCTTCTGCTATAACTACATTGCTCATTAGCGTAGCGGTGGTATCGCTACTTCTTAAATCAAATAGCTTTTCAGTAGCAAAGCTATTTTTTAGTCAAGTGGAGCAGTAGCGTCCACACAAGCTACATTTACCGATCACGGATCAATAGGTGACGGCACTGACATTCACAAAGCTGTGAGGCCGGTGTCTAGCCATTGAAAATAAAGCCATATCATAGATGGCTGTCCCCCCACAATAGCCCCTTTCACACAGTGATACCGGTAAATATCCGGAAGATTTCCGGAACGACTTTACCGGTATATTCAAAAAAGCGCTGTTCACACAGGCGAGGACGTTACGGAAATTTTCCGGAAAAGAGCATTCACACATCCATTCCAAAATACCGGTAAATTCTGACATCATCAACCACAAATGAGCTTTAAACGGCTGCGCTTGTATTTGTAAACATTTGACTAAATTACAAACTCTGTGGATGATCAATATTGTGAACAACTTTCGCAGGATCACTTTCTCATGTCGAGATGTTCATAATATGTGCGTGTGCAGGCGCTCACAGGCTGTTTCACAGGCACACGCAAAGCTTAAAGGTAAAAAAACAACGGCTTATCATAAGCATCTCATCGATGATTATTTACACAGTTGGCATAAAGAAGAACATATAAACGTGATCTGACTAACTTCTAGCAGCTAAATGTGTCTGGAAAAATATTCAAAGGTTTTTATTCTCACAAACCGCGCGGACGTAAATGCGTCTGACTGTTGTGATTGGCTAAAGCAGACGTCTCACGTCAGCCCGTTCTAGACGTGCACGCGCTTATTACGGCAATCTTCCTTCTGCATTCACACAGCGCAGCATTCCGGCAAATTGCCAGTAATGTTACAACTTCTCTTTCCGGAAAATAGCCAGAACGAATTTACCGGTATTTTCAAAAAGGACCTGTTCACACATACAGCAAGGTCTGTATGTGTGAAAGGGGCTAATGTCCGCTATGCCCCTGTATCTAACATAATTCTTTTGTAGCGTATAAGTATACTTACATAAAAAAACTGTTTAAATAATAACTATTTTATTAATACGGAACACTTTATTAAAGTTGTTTATTTATTTATTTTTACTGCCTGTAACGGTTCAAGTCAGTAAGAAGTAAGAAGTGTTGTGTTCCTCATTGTGATACTAGTAGTAGCATTTAATACTGAATAACGCACATAGTCAGTACCTGAGGAGATCATCGTCATATTAGTTTATGCTGTTGTTTTGCTGCAACATTGTGGGAAATGGAGGCCTATAGGAATTGTGCACTAATGACAATTGTCCAAAATTACTCTAATTATGTGAAACTGAAGATATATTTTTTGTTTTCTTTTTTCTCTCAGGGCCCGGAGTGCTGTTCGGATTTTGTGATTTCTTTTCATTATCTGAGAGCTGCAGACATGTACATGCTGGAGTATTATACGTATCACCTGCGACCATTCGGATACAAGTACAGATTCAACCCTCATCATCACCAAAACAACACCATTGAGATTAACCAGACAAACACACAATAGACAAAGTATTAGAAAAAGATCTTTAATGTGGCAAAAAACAGTTTACATGAGAACATTTGTGGAGAACAAAAGACTGAAAAACATATACAGACTGAAAATTGATATGAAAATTGTTCGATGTGCATCAAGACTCAATAGTTTTGTGGGTTTTGTTTCAAATAGTTGCATTATAGCACTTGTTCTATTGCATTTTATGTGTGTTTTTCAAAAAGCTACCATTTCATATATTGCAACAACGTTCAGACATTTTGAACTCGCTTGTTTATTGCTCATTTAGGAGACATACACAAAGTTATGTTGTGTGGAAACAGCTATGGTAAAAAAAAATACTTTTGAGAATACTTGCAGTTCCTTCCTAAATTAACCCTTATGTGCTGTTGGGGATGTTTTCATCCACTCTGGGGTGATTTTGAGGCTTAAAATGGCCACAACTTCCTCTGTGTTTCAGCAAATGCAATGATTTTGGTGACAAGTCTTATTTTGACACGTATTTCAGGAAAATGCTTTGGAATTTTCAGAAATTCCACAATACACTCTTGGCAAATGGACTACCCTTTCATTATGTTGGTGGCTGTTTTGCCAAAGTGACTTCCATTTATAATGACTTTTTTGATTGCAAAGCCATGACATCCAATAATCCAGGGATGTCAAACTCAATTCCTGGAGGGCCACAGCCCTGCACAGTTTAGTTCCACCCTAAATAAACACCTGATCAAACTAATTAGATGCGTTCGACATGAAGCTCAGCTGCAGCCGGTGATCAACGAGATTAGCCGAGCACAGGCGGAGGCGGAGTTGAAAACGGAGCCGTCAAGACGGACAGCTGGACACTTCGGGACTCAAAGTTGCTGCAATCATGATGACCGATCACATGATGTCGTCATATTTTTTTTGTTATTTTTATTTATAACAACAAAACATTTACAAATAAAACAGAATACAGTCTCTACAAACTATAGTTCCTTTTTAAACAATAAGAGAGAATTATGAATAAAATACATAACAAATGCATGAGAGAAATAAGAGGAAATGAGAGGTTAATATAAACATGAAAACGAACAGGTCTGTTAAATACAAGGCAAAAGCATAAATTCTAGGAGTTAAACATCAATCTTTAGGCTAATACTTCTTGTTTGAATATGCTAAAAAAGGGTTTACATATGTGTACATTTATAGATTTAAAAATTTCCAATGTAAAAAACAAAACAAGGTGTTTTGATTAGGTCTTAATAAATGAGATTATTTTGGATAATGAGTGCATTTTCAAAAAAGCATTTTAATCCAAAAAGATTGTGTTGAAAAGAACAAAAGATAAAATAAGTGAGCTATGTATAAGTTTCGAGTAGGTAGCCTTTAAACTGCTAGACAGGAAATAAAATATATATTTATATAATAATAATAATAATAATAAAACCATTTTATAATTATTTAATAAAATAGTTCTTTAACTTAATTTGTTAAGAGCTTTAGGGTGGCAGGATGCCAGGATTAATGATGATGATTATTTTATTTCAAGTCTGTAAGACTTATTTGAGTTCATATTTAGGTTATTCAGTAAAATATATCATTTAAATCGTTCATGGAGATGAATGCTGTAAATAGTCTGTATAAAAAAGTTAAAAATAAACCTGTGCAAACAAGCTAACCTTTATAACCAGATTATTTAACAAAAGATGATTACTGCAGTAAAATATTTGTAGTCTTTTAATAAGCAAGCTGTGTGCAAGATAGAGAGGGTGTGAAAAGTGAATTGTTTTTTTGAAACTTTTGAATCGGAATTTGTCCAATTATAAACCCAAAATACACGTGTTTGTTGTCATGTGGTGAACTCGGCCAATTGTGTAATATCAGTGTCGTCTTCAGAGCTCCTGCAGCCGCTCTTCAGAAGCTGCACGGTCTGAGTCTGCCGTCTGATCTCGGAGCGCTGTCGCGGTACTTTGATGCCACATGTGACAGCCACGTGGCATCGGCGCAGCATCAATCCGGACAAGATTTCTAATCAGCATGCACCGCCTTAAGACAGATTTCGAACGATCTGCGCAGCGCTGCATGAAGTCGAACGCACCTCTTGAGTCCTTTAGGCTTGTTTGAAACCTACAGGTAAGTGTGTTGGAGCAGGGTTGGAACTAAACTGTGCAGGGCTGCAGCCCTCCAGGAATTGAGTTTGACATCCCTGCTATAGATCATGCATTCTCAATTGTTGCTGGTTTTCCCTATTGGGAAGATGTTAAATTTGTCATTTTTACTGGAAATCATCAGTTGCAGTACAAATAAAAAGTATAGTTTCTGGCTTTTATATGGAGTTATATTGGGTATTTTGAGTGTAAGATATGGTAAAATACAGTTTACGCTGCAGCGCATGGTCTAAAAGGGTTGAGCTTATTCTCTTAATGAGTTGTGTGTGTTTTGAGCATAACGTGCATTAATCCAATCAGAGTCTCATCTCCGTTTCCCTTTAAAAGTCAGTTATGTGGCGCCATGGCGCACTTGCTATTTACATGCCGAATTTTATAAGTCTAAAAACTGAACGCTTCACTAGCGGGAAATTGGTTTAACAGATCTTCTGCAGCGAGGATAAAGACAGAGGCTCCTCCATTCAGCCTCTTTACTTTCTCTTTACTTTTATTCTTTACTACTTCCGTGAATAAGAAAACGATATAAAAAAAGATATCCATTAGCCTACATTTTTAATTTAGATTGAGCACAGATTTGTTTCAAAACTATTTCTTAATTCAGTTCTAATTTCCAGCAAATGATTAAATTAAACATAAAAACGAGTTGTATCCAAACACATGTCCAGTTCTTATGCCCTTTATTTTGATGCAGACGTCTTCAAAACCAGACAGGTGGACAAATCTAAATTGGTTTTAATAAAACAAATATAAATATATTAAATAAAATAATATAATATATTAATATATATATAATAAATACTACTACTAATATACTACTAATAATAATAATATTAATATTACCATTATACAAAAGCTTATTGTCATGAATAAACTGAAAAAAGCCCCTCGGGATGAAGGCATGGAGGCAGTGGTTTTTATATTTATGTAGAAAATATTTTATTTTTGTAACATTAATCTATATTTTTTTGTCATATGTAAAGATATTTGTATATTGCTGTTCATCCTGTGTGTATTAAGCAATGTGTAAGCATTTGAACTGTATAGGCCCATAACTAACGTGCTATGCGCTGGACTTTAGACTAGGTTTCAGCTGGTCAATTGCGCAGTCTATTATAGTTCCTCAAAATAGCAAAGCGCCAACAATGCGCCTTAACATACCTCCATTATAGACCTGAACACCCATGAGTCCACAAAGCAGCCGCAAATGGATTTGCTATTTAAACAACAAGGTGCAAAACATGACAATTTGAGTTGCGCTTGTCTGAAAATAGCAACAAATACTTCTTCTGCCTTATTGCGCCGGATGTATGATAGGGCCCAGTAGGTGTATTTATGCATAAACACAATAATCTGCTGTTTTACACCATAGAACTCCAGCCAGAAACTTTGAAATGGGTCTGGCTGCAAACTCGGTGCAGTGCTATCTGACCTGCATCCAATGCTTTTTAATGTGCTTATCTAACCCCACCCATCACTGTGAAGTCACTTGCTCCGTTGAGTGCATTGAGTCTGACATTGCATCGCTGAGTGATGCAATCTCAGCTTGCATCATAAAGGCTGCATCCAGATACTTTTGTGCACAGGCTTATTTAAAGGTTTAATGCTGCCAACTGATGATCAACAGTCAAAAATGACAAATTGGACCTCTTTCCAACAAATAAAAATCAAGAATGCATGCTTATATTGTGTCATGGCTTTGCAATCAAAAAACGTCATTAGAATGGATGTCAATGGAGCAAAAACAGACACTAGCATAATGAAAGAGTAGTACTTTTCAATAATTCACACGGCTTAATTAAGCTGAAAGCATATTTTGGCATAAAAGAACAAAACTAGATCAAGTGTTTTCATTTAAGTTCATATTGATTTTTAAACGAAACAAAGTCACTGTTTAAACTTCAGAAGAGCTGAGAAATCCATATCTGGTACTGACACAAAGTGAATGTGTTCTTACCATATTCATTTCATTAGGTTGACATCCATGTATATATTGAAAGATTATTAGAGACTAGTTTTTCCAATGTTTAGCTATTGTATTTAATATTGTTAATTTTTATTTATTAATTTCTGTTTTTTATGGAGGGAGAGGATGTTGATTTGACACTTCAGCTTTTTAAACGTCATCAAAACTCCACAATTAGTTTATTCATGCCATTCTTTCAATATTTTCCTTATTTTTAAAATTAACAATGCATTTTTCCCCCAGTCTCGAAATCACAAAACAATACCAGCGGGTTGTGACACTTTTTGTTGCCACTGCGCTTGCACTTTTACAAGATTGTTCAAGGTATTCTGAGCAGTTTAATTATTTAAATGTTCACAGTTATAATAGTAAAAGCTAAATATATATATATATATATATATATATATATATATATATATATATATATATATATAATTTAAATATATAAATGGTCCATTAGCTTTATTATTTTTTTTTTAAATATACACTATTCCATTTTTCAGGGTGAGCGCTGTAATACTCACAGTCTCACACAGGTTTTTCTGCAGGTCAGTTCACTGTCAAACTGGTTTTTGTTGCCTTTGCAGCCTCCAAACCAGAACTGAGCGCAAGAATTGGCTTTTGGATCAAAATACCATTTAACAACATACTCTCGACATGGCCCGGGGTCCAGCGGCTGTAGACATCGCTCATCTGAGATAAGAAAGATAGAAATTGATAGAACAGAATTTATCTTGGAGTAGAATTTTTTTTTTTTGTTTCTTTCACAAAATAATGTAATCATCGTTCAGAAATTGTATTGATTTCAGTTGTAGCTTTGCCATGCGTGTTTTACAAACAACCAAGACACAAAAATAATTTGATTCAATGGGGAAATGCAGTGAACAGCAATGATTGTGTTAGGATGTAGACAGTAACTCATTTCTAAATGTTACAGCTGTCAAAAATAAATTAGAGTCGTAGAATTTCTTGTTATCAGTGCACTAGTCTCTCATAGACAGGAACAGACAGAATCTGCAGACTTTGTTCGCCATTTGTCTACACAATTGTTTGAAAAATTAGCAGATTTCTTCAGTATGATTGAGGATATGAGGCAAACTTAAATAATAAAAAAGCGTTTAAACTTTTATTTAAGCTTTATAATGCAAATTCAGTCATTTGCAACCATTTCTTTGTTAAAAAAATATTCTCATATAATTCATCCAAAAAACAGAAAATATTACTTTTAAAAACAATTTTACACAAATCTAAACATTTAAATATTCCATATGGAAGAGTTATAATGCGATAATAGTAGTATAACCTAAATAAATAAATGAATAAATATATCAGCAATATCACCTGAGTAGCAGTGCGTTATGGCTGTAAATCGGCACTGGCCACAGGTCGAGTGCCTTAAGCCTGGTTTATACGTCTGCGTCAAGTGATTGGCGTAACCCACGGCGCATGCAACACACGTAGCTGTGCATTTATACTTCTGCGCGCTGTCTCTGCACTGCAACAAATGCTTTTCTTACTTAGATCTTGTTCAAATATCTACAAATTCTTAAATCAAGAAGCATTTTCTAGACAAGCAAAACACATTGTCTTGTTTTTAGAAATATGCCAAAATGAATCACGCTTTTCCTTAAATCAAGCTAAATAATCTGCCAATGGGGTAAGCAAAATAATCTTGTTTTTCAATTTGTGATCAGATTTTTTTGCTTACCCCATTGGCAGATTATTTAGCTTGATTTAAGGAAAAACTTGCTTCATTTTGGCATATTATTTCTTAAAACAAGACAATGTTTTGCTTGTCTAGAAAATGCTTCTTGATTTAAGAACTTTTAGATATTTGGACTAGAAACAAGACAAAATTCTAAGTAAGAAAAGCATTTTTTGCGGTGTGCTGGTCTGCAACACTTCCGAAACGCTAGTTGGCAGTGAGGTGTAAATGTTCATCTGGGTCGAGTTTCTTCGCTGGTGTTTTGTTTTTTCTGAACACGTCCTGATTGTACAAGTGGCTCAAACTTGCTCCTTTGGAGGCAGTAACCGGCGGACATGAAACAACTTTAACTATGAGGTAAAAACAAAACTTTCCATCCGGAGCTATTTTACGGGACTCCTCACTTGTAAACAATCGCTCCATCAGGCTCGCCCAAACTCGTCAGCACTACCAAGCCGTCCAATCACAGAGCTTGCGCTAAGCATCGTTGCGACGACAGCAACTGCGCAGGGCTATGCATTAACGCGTATCCTGCGCCGTAGCATACGCGTGCGCTTGACGCAAAAGTATAAATCAGCCTTTAGTGTCCCACCAATGACGACATACAGGCACATCACACTGCTACGAATGTGATATTTGATTTATACAACAGTTTGATGGCATTATCGTGTATTTAAAAAAAGAAATTCAAACAGTCTAAAAAGTCCTTTTGTATTAGGAGCTACTTTCTTCCGCCAGTCATTCACATCTGCAGAACTGCAGAACATCTACGTCAGAACAGCAGAAACTGTTGCTCATTCACAAACGTCACTTTAGAGCTAGTGTTTGAATGATTCTCTAGCATAATATCTAAAGTGATGACAAAAAGGGGGATGTTGCTCACATTTTAAGATTATACGGCTGAACATCATGAAATGCCATCAGTCTACAGAGATTTCCCAGTATTTATCTGTTGCAATTGGGAGATCACAATAATTAACCCCAAATAAGCCAAGAGGGGTCTGGATGCAGACCTGGTGCAGTGCAATCTGAGCTGCATCCAATGCTTTTTAATGCACTCACCCAATCCCACCCCTAACCCTACCTGTCACTCACTCCATTGAGTGCTCTGTGTCTGACATTGCACCGCTGAGTGATGCAATCTCAGCTTGCATCATAAAGGCTGCATCCAGATACTATTGAAAAAGCCACTATACATATATATTCAAAATGTATTTTGTGTTCAACAAATGAAAGCAACTCAAACCGGTTTGGAACCAGTAAATGACAGAATGTAAATCTGATTTAGCAGATAATTAAGGAATTTACTATCAGGCATCAGATTAACACCGTCTGTCAGGAATCCAAAAGTGTTCTCTAATTTTAATCCATGCTCTTTTATCAGAGGTTTCATTTAGGTTTTTCTACTGTGTATATGCTGCAACTCGTGCCTAAAAACTGCTCTTTTAACTATCTTTAAATAGGACTAAGCAGTGACCCTCGATGTATAGGAAACTAGGGTGTTTTCTAGTTTTGATCTCCTCTGTATTTAATGTTTACCTGCGGTAAAATCCTGCTGAAAGATCAGTGGTGGGTCAGTCGTTCTGCGTGATGGGAAATCTGGGAGGAGGTTCAGGATCAGGTCCTCTCTTTCCAAATACGGTCTGATGGTGCCAACAATGTCTGATTCAGGATCATAATAGGGGAAGACGCCAGACTCCTCAAATGCACCTGGCTAAGAATTACAGTTTGAAAGTTGAGAAATACCACAGACCCTTTTTTTTGTTTTGTTTTTGTTTTTAGCCCTAAGATTTATGTTATGTAATCTCCCTTTTGTCCGCCTAAACAGCCCTGTAGCTTGACACAGATACTAAACTGCAAATGATGTAGTCATAATGCTTGAAATATTGTAGTCTCTCGTTTTAAATGAAGTTGAAAAAACCTAAAGCATATAAAAATGTCTTATTATAAAGCGAAGTGCATTTATTGAAGATATTTAGTGTATGATTTTAACTTCTCTGAGGTAGATCAAATCAGTTGCACTGTAAAAATTCATTGCTTAAAGAAAGTGAGTAAACCCACTGTAACTTAAAACTGTTCAGTTGATTTGAACTAATATAATAATGCACCTAGTTCATTTACAGGTTTACTCACTATTTATGTGGTCAGTTAATCATTTTAAAAGCAACTGGTTTACTCACTTATTTTAAGTAAAGTCAACTTATTGTTTTAAAAGCAACTGGTTTACTCACATATTTTAAGTCAACTTATGTTTTAAAAGCAACAGGATTATTCACTTATTTTAAGTAAAGTCAACTTACTGTTTTAAAAGCAACTGGTTTACTCACTTATTTTAAGTAAAGTCAACTAATTGTTTTAAAAGCAACAGGATTACTCACTTATTTTAAGTCAACTAATTGTTTTAAAAGCAACAGGATTACTCGCTTATTTATAATTCATCTGATCTCAAAAACTTTAGAACCATTTTCGCCTTAACCTTCATCTCAAAAATTGTTGAAACAATTGTACTTAATCAATTACAAGGTACAAGGACTTCTATCCTATAGAATGATATCACTGAGCCTTTTCAATCTGGCTTTAGGCTGGCTCATAGCACTGAATCCGCTCGAATGACATCTATCTCCTCACTGATGCTGATGATCATGTGGTGATACAAATCGGTAAAATGACTTTTAACAAGTGAGTAATTCTGTTGCTTATAATTAGTTGACTTTACTTAAAATAAGTGAGTAAAGCGGTTGTTTTTAAAGTCAACTAATCATGTTAAAAGCAATTGGTTTACTCACTTTAAGTCAACTAATCATTCTTTACAGTATAACATAATTTTCTCACTGAACATCATGTAGATATTATATGAAATATGGTGTCTAATATATCTGACCAGTACTAGAGTGCACTAATACAGTAACTTAGGAACATTATTGATTTGTTCATTGTTAATAATACAATTATAATAATAACAGTAATAAATTCATTCCGTCACACTGTAGGACTTGTGTACATTTTATTTTAATCAGTATCTCACAAAACAAACATGCCAACATATTTTTAAATATTCTGATAATAATAATAATAATAATAATATTAATAATAATAATAATATGCTCGACAGAAATGTGTGTGTGTGTGTGTGTGTGTGTGTGTGTGTGTGTTTGTGTGTGTTTGTGTGTGTTTGTGTTTGTTTGTGTTTGTTTGTGTTTGTGTGTGTTTGTGTGTGTTTGTGTGTGTGTGTGTGTGTGTGTGTGTGTGTGTGTGTGTGTGTGTGTGTGTGTGTGTGTGTGTGTGTGTGTGTGTGTGTGTGTGTGTACATGTACCTTGGAACTGAAGGTTGATCCATCAATGTTCTCACACACCTTTTGGAGCAGTTTACTTTGCAATTCTAGGCAACAAAGCAAAACCTGAATTTATTAATTACTTTGGGTGATTGTGTAGCTCAAAAGCATCAAAGTTATGGGTTATTTAATACAACAAGTGCAAATATAAAGATGTTTAAAGGGATAGGTTAGGGTTAGGATGCAAGCATTTTGTTAAAATCAAACTTTTTACACTACAGAATACAGAATGTTAAGCTTTTTATTATAATATTTTAGGTCTAAACTGAAGAACTTTCAATTTGAAGAAATGTCCATAACCAGATTTGTGAAATAATCGAACTCAATTCTGTGGCGAAAAACCCTGCAAAACTGCAAGATTTAAGTTCAAAACTTAAAGAAAAATGTCAGAATTTAGAATTCCAAAAAATATATATATATTTTTTTAAGATGTAAATTTAAAATGACATGTCGGAATGCTAAATTCTCAGAAATTAAGATGTAAATTCAAGAATCCGGAGAAAAAAAAGTCAGAATTGCAAAAAATATATATATATAATTTTAATTTACAAGAAAAAAAAAGTCTGAACTTTGAGATGTAAATTTAGTTTTACAAAAAAAAATTTTTTTTAAATATAAATTCTATGAAATAAATTTAGAATTGCAAGATGTAAAATCTAAATTTCAAGAAGCAAGACAAAATTGTAGGACGTAAATTCAAACTCCAAGAAAAAAAAGTATTTAGTGGAACTGAATTGGAAAATTCCTTTGCTAATTAATTCCGTTGCTAATTTCTACAAAATAAAGTCAGAATTTTGAGATGTAAATTCAAGAATTCAGAAACAAAGTCAGAATTTTAAGAAGAAATTTCAAAGAAAATTTTTTGAATTGTGATGCAAATTTAGAAATCAATTTTTTAAAAAAATATTTAAATGTAGAAGTTCTGGTTGTAATTGCAAAAATCTAAGAAAAAGTAAAAAATTTAGATATAATTTTTTAAAAACATCAGTGAAAATAATAATCTGAATCGAAAAAAAAAAGTCAGAATTTTTAGATGCAAATTTGGAGTTCCATGATGGGATTGTAAAAATCTTTGAAATAAAGTCAGAATTTTGAAATGTAAGAATTTGAAATTTAACTCAAATTTTTAAAGAAATCTGAAATTTAAGAATTCAGAGACCGAAAATCAGCAAGACTTAAATTCAAAATTCCATTAAAGTCAGAAGTTTTAGATGCAAATTTATAATTCTAAAAAAAGTAGATGTAAATGTACAGTTTTAAGTTGGAAATGCAAATTTCCACAAAATAAAGTCAGAATTTGCAGATGCAAATTGAATGAAGTCAGAATTGCAAGATATAAATTCAAAATTCCTAGAAAAAAACCTGGAAATTAAGATTCTAATTTAGATTTTTTTTTTTATTATATTTTTGTGTGTGTGTGTGTGTGTGTGTGTGTGTGTGTGTGTGTGTGTGTGTGTGTGTGTGTGTGTGTGTGTGTGTGTGTGTGTGTGTGTGTGTGTGTGTGTGTGTGTGTGTGTTTGAAATGAATTCTATGAAATGAATTCAGAAATGTAAGACATGAATTCACGTTTCCAAAAAAAAAATAATAATAATAACAAAAAATTTGAATTTCGAGATGCAAATTTTTACAAATGTAATTAGTAGAAATACACCCCCCTTCCCTTTTTTCTGTAATTCTAAATTTGCATCTGAAAATTCTGACTTTAGTTTGCAATTCCGACCGACCATCTCAAAAAATGAAGGCAGAACTTTGAAATGTAAATTCAAGAATTAGACAAAAAGTCTGAATTTCAAGACGCAAATGAAAAATTCCAAGAAAAAAAAGTCTCAATTTTGAGATGCTAATGTAAAATTCCAGGTCTGAGGGTTTTTGAGAGATTCCAAGAGGAAATTTCAAATCAGAAATTCAGAATTTGAAAGTCTCTTTGCAAAAAGTAATTCCGTGGTGAAATCCAGCGTCAATAAAATAATACGCAATGGCTTAAGAATGCATGTTATCGAGTGTTCTTGCTAGTGTGAACTGCTTTAATGGTATTTGGCATTGGCATCTCACCATGCAGCATTCTGAAGTCCTCAACAGAAAACATGTGTTCTTCAGTGGGTGGAGAAGCTATTGACTTCAGCTCCTGCTTAAAATCATCATAAATGGGGTCACTCTGATTGACCACCCCTATAGCGAACATGGTGATGTTGTCTAAATGGGCTTCTCTGACCGCATCCTCCAGCTTCACAGTGTCCCGATGATCCGTCTGACCATCGGTAATGACCATTGCCACTTTCCTCACTCCAGGCCGAGCAAAAGCAAACATCTCATTGGCTTTTCTGATGCCACTTCCTGTGTAAGTTCCCTCCCCGATGTAGGGCATCCTGCGTACGGCTGCTTTGACTTCATCCCGGGTTAACCTGTCTTGTATATTTGTGACCAGCAGGTTAATGTTGCTGTAGAGGACGATGCCTACACGGGTGACCTCTGGACTGACGGATGTGCGGTCGATTAAGGTATTTACAAAGTCTTTAATGACTTCAAAGTTCTCCGGGCCGACGCTCTCGGAGCTGTCGATCACAAACACCAGCTCTAGAGGATTCACTCTGCAGATCCGGCCACAGCCTGAGAATGCAGAGTAGATGATGTTAGAGTCTGTGTTATTTATCACATACAAAATGTTCAAATTTGGCAAATGTCTGTTGGGTTACTTACCACAAATGGATCTGATCAGAAATATTATGTCTTCTTTCTGGAATATACATAACAAGTAAATAAATATACTATTATTATTATACAATAAATTATTAATTACTATTTTTAAAAAGTATGTATTTACATTTTTAGTTTGTTTCTTTTTAAAATTAATTTAAATTTTTACTTTGCTGTCTTTAAACAATATTACATATTAATTCGATTTTTTTTCCCCTCTAATTTTATTTCTTTTATATCTATCATATATATATATATTTTTTTTTTATATATATATATATATATATATATTTTTTTT